GGTGTTTGTGTTTGTGTTTGTTGTTTGTTTGTTTGTTTGTTTGTTTGTTTGTTTGTTTGTTGTTTGTTTGTTTGTCTGTCTGTTTGTTTGTTTGTTTGTTTTGTTTGTTTTGTTTGTTTTGTATGTTTTGTTTGTTTTGTTTGTTTTTGTTTGTTTGTTTGTTTGTTTGTTTGTTGGGTAGTTGGTTAGTTGGTTAGTTGGTTAGTTGGTTAGTTGGTTAGTCTGTTTGTCTGTTTGTCTGTTTGTCTGTTTGTCTGTTTGTCTGTTTGTCTGTTTGTCTGTTTGTCTGTTTGTCTGTCTGTCTGTCTGTTTGTTTGTTTGTTTGTTTGTGTGTTTGTTTGTTTGTTTGTTTGCTTGTTGGTTTGTTGGTCTGTTGGTTTGCTGGTTTGTTTGTTTGTTTGTTTGTTTTTGTTTGTTTGTTTGTTTGTTCGTGTTTGGTTGTTTGGTTGGTTGGTTGGTTGGTTGGTTTGTTTGTAGTTGTTGTAGTTGTTGTTGTTGCTGCTGCTGTTGTAGTTGTAGTTGTTGTAGTTGTTGTTGTTGCTGCTGGTGTTGTTGTTGTTGTTGTTGTTGTTGTTGTTGTTGTTGTTGTTGTTTTCTTGTTTTTCCCGGTGAAAACATTCGACATTTCGCAGCGATGAGCGCAGGAGTTTTCAGACCTTGAAGATGAATTCAGTTCAGGCCAGCAAGCGAGGACCATTTGTTGAGATGGGGGGTTCAATCAGAGAAACAACTTGCGAAATGCGGGTGATTTCACCAGGCTGTGGCCCATAGCCGAGACTGGACTTGGGTACTTGTTGTTCTTGGCGGTAGCCCCTTGGAAGGTGAATTTACCTATGATGTTGGGCAGATAAACGCCATGATATTCCCATTGTTGGTGGTTGCACCCACATGCTTTTGATGCTGGACTTTCATCAAGAAGTTGTTTGACTTCTTGCATATGCATCCCAGGAATCATATAAGAATGTTAGTTTCCCAGATTGTTGCCTGTATTGCCTTCATGGTTGGTTAACTCCCCTATCCTCCGTTGATTATGTACCTATGATATTTCGTTTTCAGTGAGAAAATCGGTAAATCGCCATCCACAATTCATCCCTACAAAGATTGGTACTATCATCTTTTTTTGGATTTTGGCAGGTGTATTAAAAAGAAGTGAGATGGGCATCCACATATATCATTGAAGGTATCAGAAAATGGCATTGGATAAAAATATATGGATCTGTCTGAAAATGGGGTACTCCCAAAGTAGATGATTGATTATATTTCAGAAGATTCCCAGTACAAACAACTAATTGCAATCCGAATCCATGATATCAATCATACACCCAAAAAATAAAAACATAAACGCATGTTTACTGGACATTCAGCAGTAAGCAGATGGTTTTATCATGGGTTTGATATTATCAAGAATATCCAGTTATTTTCCAATGATTCTCCATACAACAATCAAAACTCTCTTTACAGGAGCAATAATGTACATATATCACATCATACATTTGTACATTTATACATTTATATATATATATATTATATGTATATATATAGTTTATATACACATATACATACATATACACATACATATTATCCATGATCATAAAGTATGGAAATAAACCAATCCAACCCATATCTTCCACCTTCGTCAGGCAGCTCACAGTCATCGTCCTACAGTGTGTCGAGCAGCGACTCTGAGTCGGTGTCCACTGGCACCAGCCAAGGCGCAGCCGTCGATGGTTTGGTCGGATCCGCAGCTGAAAATTTGGGGTTCTGAAGATGAGGTTTTTGCAGCAGCGGAAACATGTTTTGAACTTTGAACACACACACATATATCTATATAAATATACATACATAGATACATAGATACATAGATACATAGATACATAGATACATAGATACATAGACAATAGATACATAGATACATAGATACATAGATACATAGATACATAGATACATAGACACATAGATACATAGATACATAGATACATAGATACATAGATGCATAGATACATAGATACATAGATACATAGATACACAGATACACAGATACACAGATACATAGATACATAGATACATAGATACATAGATACATAGATACATAGATACATAGATACATAGATACATAGATACATAGATACATAGATACATACATAGATACATAGATACATAGATACATAGATACATAGATACATAGATACATAGATACATAGATACATAGATACATAGATACATAGATACATAGATACAATAGATACATAGATACATACATACATACATACATACATACATACATACATACATACATACATACATACATACATACATACATACATACATACATACATACATACATACATACATACATACATACATACATACATACATACATACATACATACATACAGTACATAAGTACATACATACATACATACATACATACATACATACATACATACATACATACATACATACATACATACATACATACATACATACATACATACATGCGTACACATGCATACGTGTAAATATATATATATACATAAATACATATATATATATATATATGTATATGTCCGGATACATTGACATATACGTATGTGTACATGCGTATCTTGTGCTTCAAACTTTAATATTTGGAATGGTCAAACTTGGGCTACGAATGACATTAGGGCGATCTGACTAACTGCGGCGGGTTGCAGTGGTGCTTGGTTTGCCACTGGCTGGAGAGGTTAGAGCTGCAAACATGTAATGCCCCTGGGGATACGAACTAAGATACGATTTAAGATACGACCTTCAACGAACTTCCACATTTTTCGAACTATTTTTGAGGATCCACGCTTGGGTCATTTTTTTGCCCCACCTGCCAGGTGAGGGTCTCTAGATTTTAACGAACGAACAGCTCCTCACCTTCTCTCACCTTCTCTCACCTTCTCTCACCTTCACTCACCTTTTCTCGCCTTCTCTCACCTCCTCTCCTCTCCTCTCCTGTCCTGTCCTGTCTTGTCCTCTCCTCTCCTCTCGTCTCCTCTCCTCTCCTCTCCTACCCTCTCCTGCCCTCCCCTCCCCTTCCCTCCCCTCCCCTCCCCTCCAGCTCGTCGTGTTTGATGTGTCTGTCGGCAGCGCTAGAAGCAAGTGCCAGAAGCTCATCGCGAGCTCCAGCTGAGTCTGGGCTTGACGGACCCGAACCCTATCGCGGGCTCCGGATGTAGCTGGGCACGCGGGGGCCCAAGCATCACGAGCTATGGGCCCGAGCCCGAATGCCAGATAGTGTGTCAGAATATATGTCAGAAGGAATGCCCGGTAGAATTATATGTCACGTAGAATGCGAGATAGAATGGCAGAATATATGTCAGAAAGAATGCCCGGTAGAATTATGTCCCGTAGAATGCAAGATAGAACGGCAGAATATATATATATACATGTTTATATCAGATAGAATGTCTGTTGGTGGGGATCACTCGAAGAAAACATTTTTTTTCAGGGGTTGAGTCTCTTCCGTGGCAGGATTTCTACCATATTTTTTCCAGTCAGGAGAAGTGGGTGAAGCTTTGCAGGTCCTGTCATGGGTCTGCATGGATGCACAGCTCATTTTTCATTTCAAAATATCATGGCCGGTGACTGGCAAGAATCCAAGAGGGCCAGTTGGTTGCCTTGCAACTTATGTTTCTTCCCGTTATGATTTAATCATCAGGTGGTTGGAGGTAGCACAGCAGTTCTATCAGTTATGGTGAACCAGGAAGGTTGCTTTCAGATACCCTTTGAGGATGTGGAGGAGCTTGAGGTCGAAGAAGGAGAGGAAGAAAAGGAAGAAAAGGAGGAGAAAGAGGAAGAGGAGGAGGAGGCGGGGGGATGCATCCATACCTTGATTTCGGATGTTCTGTTTTTTCACTTTTCGAGTTGGTGGTTCATTTTATAGTATAACATATTTTTTTGTTAGGTTTGCCTGAAAATAGGGTACCCCATTCCATCCAGTGGCCAATCATCATTTTCCCCATGGTTTCCCTAGTAGAATGGCTATTGACTCCCGATGAATTCAACCATTTCCTGTCATATCCCCATGACATTACCCTAATGATTAGTGTATCATTATATTATCATTATAATTATTATAGTTATATCATAATTATATTTTACTTATTGTTATTATTGATGTTAAGTGCAATTATTCATTATTGCTATTATTACTATTAAGATCTTTTAAGAACTTTAAACATATTATCATTATTTATTGTTATATCTATTCCACTATATCCTCAATATGGTTGGTTATATTTTTTTTTCTCTATGTGCGATGAACATCCTCAGTGCCTCAGACGTTCCTGGACCTGAAGCCACCGCTGCGGCGACAGGCGGAACCGGTCGATTGGACTTTGCGGCGTCTTGCAAGGCCGCGCAGAGAGCCGTCATGTGCCTTGGAACGTTGACAGATGGGGTGGTCAACCCTGAAATGCTTGGGGTTGGTATCTAGCCACTGTAATCTCCTAAAAATTGGGCATTTCACTGCAAGAACATCGGGTCTCTCTCTCTCTCTCTCACTCAGTCTCTCTCTCTCTCTCTGTCTGTCTCTTTCAAAATTTGGCGCGGTCTCTGTCTTTGTCTTTGTCTCTGCCTGTTTCTTTCTATGATCTTTCCCTTCTCTCTCTCTCTGCATATGTGTATGATCGTATATGTGTACAATATATCCATGTATATTAATATGTGTATATATATATATACACATATGTATACATATATATAATATACATATATATATATAATATACATATGTATATATATATAATACATATATATATATATACATATGGCACAAATTCATGTAATTTCTTTTACCTTTCACCTTCAAAATATGGTGCATAGCGAAAATAAAATAGTTTCAGTGCTGGAGATGATTCAGAAAGAACTACATCAAGAGCAATATATTGGGAACTACTTAACACAACAACATGCTGGAAATGATTTAGCCATTCAGCATACTGTAAATAGTGAGCCAGGCAACATCAAGCATCCATTTAACATCATTTAGAGCCCTTGCACATCAAGATGATGAATTTTGAAGTTCCAACATCCCAATGGGCAGGTGGGGCACCCTGACACTTCTTGTAGCTCCTGTCTTGGCTGAAGCTTCAAAACTTTGATGTGAAACGTGTCCCTTGCGACTCGCTGTATTTTTTCATTCGGAATCCAAGGTCCAAATGGTCCGGAGGGTACTCCAGGACTTCGTGTTTAATCCAAAAGATCCAAGGGCCAGACATGCCCATATGTATCCTTGCCCAGGCTGTACCCAGCGCTGGGCACCTGTTGAGCTACAAGCGCTGTCTTCAGGTGGCCGAAGCTCTCCATTTCGGGGATCTTTAAAGTTTGAATTTGGGGTGAAACGAAGCCACCCAAGATTGCAGGTGTCTCAGACCATTGGGAATGGGCGAAGATTAGAATTTCCTGGCCTATTTGTGTGGGTTCCAAAATGGTTGTCAGGGTTTCGTGTAGCTTGCTCACCCCTTCGTTCTTCCGTGGTTGTTACAGATTCATGCACCACTGCTGTAGCCCACGGTTAGAATGATGCCAGACGGGTTTGTCCCAAAATAGAGTATCCTCACGTCTAGCTGTTCCAAACCCCATTTTCCGTATTTTCTAATGACCACAACAAAAAATATGACCCATTTTGAGACGCCACCATAAAATTCCAACATAAATAGCTACAGACCCACCATAATAGTTGTGAGTAATGTTCCGTCCTGATTAGTGTGTACCCCCCTCTTTTCTTCCTCGGTCTATGAAGCTCAAGCTGCGACCTAACGTGAACCGCTAAATTCTGGGCTTGCATTCATCCACCTGACAAGGGCGATGGACCCCTCTCAAAGCGAAGGTTGGAAGGAGACTCCCACAGGTACCCCCCCTCAAACGAATGATACCCTCTTTAAAGTTGAGTGTCAAAAACTGTTCCCAGAAGAAATACCATCCCACATTTCAGTAAGGCTTTTAATTGGCGACAGTTGAAGCCTAATTAAAGTTGTTTTGCCGATGAACTTGGGACATTTGTAGTTCATGTAGTACTTGTAGTACCTGTAGTACTTGTAGTACTTCTAATACTTATAGTGAATGAGGTTCAGCATGTTGATTGCGTTACCTTTTCCATCTCAAGCGTTTTTTTTAATCGAAGGAAGTTTAGAAGTCAAACTTCCGACAATATGGACAGATGAAAAGCAGAATAGGGGAGAGGCAGAGAGAAGAGGAAGATTAGAAGAGAGAAGATGAGAAGAGAAAGAGTCAGAAGAAAGAAGATGCGCGAAAAGGTAGGAAAGTCGCGAAACACTGTGTTTTTCCAATGATTTGTCGCTCAGGAGGGTCGAAAAGTAGGCTCGCTAAAGCGGCGGGTGCGGAGCCAGCTGGTCACAGGAGCGATGAAAAATTGCACGCCGTTGTGGCGCGAAGCACATTTCCAAGTCAAAAGGTACAAAACACCTCAGGTCCGGACCACTTTTGGAAGTTGAGATGTCGAAAAAGTGCGCGCCGTTGTGGCGCGAAGCACATTTCCAAGTCAAAATGTACAAAGCACCTCAGCGTCGGACGACTTTTGGAAGTTGCGATGTCGAAAAAGTGCACGCCGTTGTGGCGCGAAGCACATTTCCAAGTCAAAATGTACAAAACACCTCAGCTTCGGACCACTTTTGGAAGTTGAGATGTTGAAAAAGTGCACGCCGTTGTGGCGCGAAGCACATTTCCAAGTCAAAATGTACAAAAACATGTTCGGCCACTTTTGGAAGTTGAGATGTCGAAAAAGTGCACGCCGTTGTGGCGCGAAGCACATTTCCAAGTCAAAAGTGTAAAAAACTGGCGGTCTCGGACCACTTTTGGAAGTTGAGATGTCGAAAAAGTGCACGCCGTTGTGGCGCGAAGCACATTTCCAAGTCAAAATGTACAAAGCACACCAGGTCCGGACCACTTTTGGAAGTCAAGATGTCGAAAAAGTGCACGCCGTTGTGGCGCGAAGCACATTCTGAAGTCAAAAGTGTTAAAAACTGGCGGTCTCCGACCACGTTTGGAAGTTGAGATGTTGAAACAGTGCACGCCGTTGTGGCGGGAAGCACATTTCGAAGTCAAAAGGTCCAAAACACTAGGGGTTCGGACCATTTTTGGAGGTTCAGATGTTGAAAAAGTGTACGCCGTTGTGGCGCGAAGCACACTTCGAAGTCACACTACATTACATTACAGTACATTACACTCCAGTACACTCCACGACACTAAATTACACTACACCACACTACATTACACTGAATGACACTGCAACACAGATAGACAGGTAGACAGCTAGACAGATAAACAGATGAAAGGGAGAGAGAGGCAGACAGGTAGGTAGATAGATAGATAGATAGGTAATTAGATGAAAGAGAGAGAGAGAGAGAGAGGAGCTGGGTAGATGAGATAGATAGATAGATGGCTAGACAGATAGACAGATAGACAGACAGAAAGACAGACAGATCGATAGACAGACAGACAGACAGACAGACAGATAGATAGATAGAGAGATAGATAGGTAGATAGATAGATAGATAGATAGATAGATACATAGAAGATAGGCTGGTAGGTAAGTAGATAGTCAGAGAAAGAGAGAGAGAAAGAGAGGAGACCTCAAGCACCTTTCGGTCCATCAGTGGCTTCGCTCTGCCATCCGTGATTCACAACAACCAACGTCTCCTATAGGTTTCCTATTTTTGAAACTTCCGCCACCGCCTTGTGCGGTACTACTGGTAAAGGTGTAATAAGAGAAAGAAACAGAGAAAGGACAAGAGAAAAATAAAGAGAACGAGAGAAAGAGAAAGAGAAAGAAGAAGAGGAAGAGGAAGAGGAAGGGGAAGAGGAAGAGAACGAGAAAGGAAAAGAGAAAGAAACGTAGAAAGAGAAAGAGAAAGAGAAAGAAACAGAAAAAGAAAAAGAACAAGTTGCTTTTGTAAAAGGCTTTTCTTTCTTCTTTTGGCTCCAGGATCAGCTCTGGAAAAGTTTGCTGCAATTGTGAACCCTGGGGAACAAACCTACTAAAGTCAAGTGAATTGGGCCCTCTCATGGCCCAGTGTCTCGGACATTTGTTGAAACGCCGTTCTTTAATGAAGCTTTCATAAGCGATCTGATTCTTTTGGGAAAGGCAGACAAGCAAGATTTTTCCAGAAAAAATGTGAAGTGTTTTTTTCACGCGACCATTTTTTGACAAAAAAATGGTATGCCAAAAATTCTTGCCACAAGAGTGAAGCTTCCAACCATTTCATGGGTTCAAAAAAAATATATATATATTTAAGAACCACAATAGCGAACCTAATCAGTCTAATCAGGATCCAGCACTAATATACATTGATAGTATCATGTATAATTGTCATACCATACTGGACCATACAAGATCAACATAGAACATCATATAACATCATATAACATCACATAACTATACGATCTATACGTACCTACGGCGCCTTTTTTGACACGAGGTGAAACGATTGCGCCAAAGCCGCGCGAACTTCGAAGTGCCAAGCAGTCCCTGGTGGCGAAACTCCTCTGTGGGGGCGCCCAATTCTGCTGGTAGTGACATGTTAGTTTTGCTCAGTATACAATGGGCCAATCAGTTTCTTCTACATTCTCAAAGACATCCCAACAGTGTTTCATTTGAGCATCAAAAAAGCCGACCTTGTTTTACCGGATACATAAGTCCGATCATGGCTATGTTCATTATTTTGCAATGATAAATCCAGATGATTGTTGGTTTCAACCCATCCCCAAAACACTGGTGATTTAAGGCCCCAAATATTCCAGGTAATAAAGAAAAACTATCAATGTATGAAACCACCAAACTTGTTTGGGGAATCCATCGTGCGAACATTATTTCATCAAAAACCTGAATAGTTAGTTCATAGAGATATTGGGTCAGCCTATGATTATTTTTCCCCTTGCAAACAGAGAGTAGTACTGCTTATCCCAAGAAACTACCTTCACAAATGTGGTCTGCCGGATCATAAGCCTGGTCTTGATACACCCCCATTTAGCTAAGTCTGTGTATGGCTACATGTATTGTTCAAAATCACTGCAAAGGAAAAATTGAATGGTTAAAATTGGTTAAACACATTTAAATGATCCGGACTCAAATCCTGGTATCAGTTGGTCCGAGTAAGCTTCCCCTTGATCAAGTTGAAGCCAACTCTTAACTTCCCAGGCACCTTCAAAGCTAGCCCCAAGGTGTTTCTTGATGCTTTTCGTTTCGGTTAAGATCAACTGGGGCAGTGAACCATGGCATCGGAGGTCGCTGGTGGTATGTCCTTCCGGACTGGCCGCCCCCTGACTTCGACTATGTGGCTGCCCTGGCAGAGCGAGGCACGTGAAGATCCGCTGGAGCTTTCCTGAGAAGAAATCGATCTGGAAGATATCCATGGTTTCCCGATGTTTCCCGGGTCCGGAAAATCTTCTACAACATAAAAAACAATTCATGCATATTCATGCTGGGTTGTCCAATGTTGTCCATATCGATTTCTTAATTTGCTGGAGTAGTATATGATCTTGCTCAATTTAGGGCTACAACTGGGGACATATTTTACACCCAGCTAGCTTGAGGTGCATGAGCATACCGCTGAGCCGCTATGCACTTCTTCGAGTCAAAACCTTCAAACTAAAAGGTCCTCCGAGTTCGAGGTGTACCTAGAATTTTCACACACTCACAAAGTAACATACGTGTATTTATATATATACACATAATGTATACACATTTAATTCTAAATGCACATTGGTATTGTGTATTGTACTGTCTGCATACATACTGGTGGTATTATACTGTCTACATACATACTGGTGGTTTTTCACCGTTATATATATATATATGCATTTACAATCATTTGCACATACCTACCTCTTATTAAAATACACATTTTAATACATGTATCTACATATGTATGCATATACATACACATGTATGCATACATACACATGTATGCATATACATACACATGTATGCATATACATACACATGTATGCATATACATGCACATGTAGGTAAAAATAAATTAATATATGTATATATGTATATATAGATAGTGTACACACATATATATATATAGTGTATATATATATATATAGTGTGTATATATATATAAATCCATCAGATCCTTACATGTGCACATTTACACTCATATACATATGTGTCATGCTACCGAGTTGGACGCAGGCTACCGGGAGGTACCCGTGAGTGACTTTGAGACTGCCGAAGAGATGGACGGCAACTTGAGGAGAGGGGCTCGCTGAATTCCTGGGTCAAAATGATGACCAGTGGGATTTGACAAGCAAAAATAGGTAATAAGTTATCAGTCATAGAGGACTTCTCACAAATCCGTTAAGTTGCAGAATCTTGCACATGTGTTTTTCCCTTTTGGTAGATGATTTTCCAACTAGACAACCAGGGGGAATTCTTGAACCAATCATGTTTGACGAAAAACCGTTTCTTCGGGCGGTCCTGACAGGAAGGCTTTTGCCTTACCAAATGGCTACAAGGGCCTCTACCGCGACGAGCAAGGAGCAGTCATTGACGTCACGCTGGCAGTCTTGCGACTTCTTTGCGTGCTGTGATTAAATTGTGTTATAGAGATTTCCTAAACCTGGGGATGCCCCAAACTTCCAAGACTAGCTCAAACTTACACCCCAGTTTAGCTGTTCGGACCATGATTTCGCTCCAGGTTCGGCCCGTGGAGGGCCGGCCCTCCTACGATCAGCTGATGTGTAGGACCTGGGGAAGGGGTTGGCAGAACCAGATTTTTCTTTTCGATTTCCATCTGGGTTTGAAAATGATGGATTAACCATGGATGGAATAGGAAAAACCCATGGATTTCCATCATTAACCATGGATTAACCAATAGCTATTGAATAGGAAAAATGGATGGATGGACCATGGATGGAATGGGGTACACCTGGTACCCTATTTTCAGACCAGGATCCGACCCGGGCGCAATTTCTGTGTGATCAAACAGGAGCAATGCGGAGTTGCACAAACTGCTGCTGTTGGCATATGGTCGTCAGCTGGAGGCACAGAACAGTGGTTTGTATGGCATTTTTGGGCTTACCTCGAATAATCAAACATGGCAACGGGAAATCTCCTCTCAATGGGCATTTAAGTGGGAAAATCATATGTGAATATATATGTGTTTTTTTTCCATTGCAATGTTTGATGAACTACCAGGGTATCCAGTTTGCCATTTCCCCGTCTGGTGGGGGGTTTGCCTGTTCGAATGTTTTTCATCCAACCATTCTGCTTAATGGTTGCATCTACATATTGATCATATTGCCTTGAACTTCTATGCCCAACTACCCAATACGGTGGTTCCCCACGCTTGACAGGCCTGCATTTTAGGGGTGTATTTTGCGGAATACCATGGTTTTCACCACAAAGACCCAAGATTTTGGAAGATCCACTTTCATTCGGCTTCAATGGCCACCCAGCCAGGTGCTCGAGTCAGAAGGCAATGGTGGAGAGGCCATGCTGTCTTGCTGCCATGTGACAGGCAATGGACATATGCCAGAAAAATGATGAAACTAAAGGTTGATGTAGGTATGGGTCAAAAATTGAGTAAACCCCAATCATTGGATGATCAATAGTAGAAATAGAAGAAAATCTATGGTCCCCCGATCTTGAATCTGGACACGTAGCCATTTATTTGGCTTTTCTCAAGGGTGATCCCTTGAGGCTTCCACAACCAGCCGTATTGGCCCCCGACAATGACCATCCATTAAGCAGCAATTTTGATGTGGGGGATTCCATGGGGAACCGCCATTTCAATGGTTGTTTTGTGTCCATTGAGTCAGTGACATGGTTTGGGTTCTTGGTCCAACTGTTTAGGCCCTCGGTGAGTTCAACCAGGTCTACCGCAAAAAGTGGGCAGAAGTCCCGATAGACCGATAGACCATTTTTCGGCCCATTTTTCGGCACGACAACTTCCAACTGGGTCAGTTCCAGGCATGTTCGGGTTATTTTTTGGGAGCTATCCTCAAAGAATCAGAAAATCTCGGCCATCTGGGCCAGTTCTCCTCCCAGGCAGAGAAAGCCTTGCAGCAACAGCTGCGCACGGAGCTGAGCCAGGCCAATTCTTTTGCGAATCAGATGTTTTTAAAGGACCCAATATGGAATCAACGTGAATCAACATGAATCAACATGATAATGGAATGGTGACGCTCCACCCAATTTTGGCGCATGAAATTTGTGGATGTTCATCTGGAATTCAAGTCGGGATGATGAGCCCTACGAAAGATGGTAGTAGGGGATGAGCATCCAGACTCTAAGCAGATTGAACCTTTGGGGCTCACGAAAACTTGAGGATTTCAAACACCGAGACATGGGGATTTTCAACCAAAACCCATGGCAGAATCTGATCGCTTGGCAATTTGTGGCAACTGCCAGATTTTGATCCAGACCCAACTGTACTTGTGATGAGCTTCCATGATTTGTGCTGCTTACATAGACACAGGTTGGAATCGTGTTACGATTTGGTGACCCCAGTCAGTGGACCTATCAACCTTGGATCTAGATTGGGTCCAAGGGCGGAACACTGATATGGAACTTCAACAAAGTATGCGTAAGGGCCATCTTAAAGCTGGAAATGCTGTGTTCTTTTTGCATCGACCTGCATCAACATGACATTTTAGTGCTGTACAAGAATGACAAGTACGGATCGACAGTGATCTAAGTTGCAAAAGCCATGGGTCGATACCATGCACAAAACCCAGAGGTTTGTGGATGGTTGGGCCATGGGGGACGAAATGGCTCTGTCTCAGGGTATCCCACAATCTTTTTGCTTGGTGAATTAATTATTATGATTTAGACATTTTTTAGAAACATAACATATCTATTTGGCCATAGATTTATGGAATGAAGCTATGGCCAAACATATCCGCCCTTCTTCATGAAACAGCCATAGCTTCCATAGCTTCCATAGCTTCGTCCCGGAGCCATTTCTGGTTCCGCCGATCCGCACTAAACATGCCGGTACCGCGACGCCCGGTACAGCCTCTGGTGCTGCTGCCCAAAAATGTGGCTCTAGGCGGAGCATGGAGTTGGGAACGCTAACAGCAACACGTTATAGACATTTATAGCCCATTTTGTGGTTGAAATCATATGACATCCTAGCAGAAGTGGATCTTTTCCGCAGGTGTCCAAGAATTTAGGAGATAGGGATCTGTCGAAACGTGAGGGACCATACTTTCCTTGGGGTGAACACACCTTTACTAAGCCAGCTATTTTGGTTACCAAATCGGAACCAACCCCAGTGTTGGCCATGGCCAAAGCGGAGAGATCCAGTCTTCCAGTGGTTAAAGGGAAAGTCTGCTGGAATCAGAAACCGCTTTGAAACATGTTGCTATGGTTTCCTGTAGGTCTTTCCTTAAAGCAACCCAGTGAATCATGGTTGATAAATCCTTATTCGCGGTTGCTGGTGGTTGAGAAGCCCTGAACAAAGCCTTATAGATCTCATCCCCCCCATTTTTTGCATACCCCCAAATGACCGCCTAGTGGAATATACTGGTTCTATTCATGAATTGGGGTCCAAGAATGGGTGGGGTATCAACTAATGGTTTTCGTGTTTAGTTTGTCCCAACTAAACCAAGTCAATGATTGATTATTATTATTATTTGTTAATGCCTTATGTTTGTAGTTATACAATCAATATCCGTAATTCCTAGGAAATCACAATTGAATGTCCATTATTGTTGGTTTTATACATCCATTCTTGTTGGTTAATACCTCCCGGACTCCCCGAATTGATTGAAGGGTACAATTTGCAGGACAACCCTAAAAAAATAGGGCGGAAAAATCATGGTGTCCTGAGTTTCCTGTGGATTTTCCCTTAAATCAATCCACTGGTTACATCCCAATTTTGTCAATGATACCATGCAGCTTGTCTTCAGAACGCCGCCACAGGATTCATGGGCTTCTGCTGCAAAAACCTGATTTCTGGTGCCTTCGGCTGGGACAGCCATGGAGGGTGGGTGCAGTTGGTGGTACACAGCGGTGATGACAAGAACAAAACACAACCAATAGCCATGAACAACTATGAAAAAATAGTAATAATAGTAATAACAATAGCAACAATAATAACAATAAGAATAATAACTATAGTAATAGTATATATATATATTATAATATACATACAGAGACACATCTATTGTATTTGTACTGATGTGCTTACCTGCGCACACAGACGCAAAGCATTCATTTTCCTCAAGCCCATCTGATGTGCGGTCGCAGGAATGTGTAGAGACACCAACGCTGCCAAACAAGGAGTTTCTCAGCTTCCAAGAAAACACAAAACAAGCCTTCAACGCCTCCATCGCCTTCCAGAAAGGATGAACACAGCGTTCGTTGCCTTCACTCGCGAATGAAGCGCTGTGCTTCTCTCATTGAGTACATCAGAACCGATTTGGATTCCGGGGTAATGGCCAAAGTGAATCGTCCACCATGCCTGAGAAAGCTCAAACGTTCTTGGCAAAGGGAAAGAAGGGGGGCGAATAGCACCAGTGAATAAGCCACACAAAAGCCCCAAACACCCACACGCCCACAGCTTCGCTTTAGCTGCACGAGTTGGAGGGGCTTTCCCGTTCCAACGAACGACAAAGGAACTGAAGCATTCCGAATTACTCACGGATACATTTTCCTCATGTGTACATACATTTATTACAAACATTACATTAATTACATTCATTACATTAAATACATTAATTACATTCATTACATTGATTACATGAAATTACATTTGTTACATTCTTTGCATTAATTACATCAATTACATTAATTACATTAATTACAGTAATTACATTAATTACATTAATTACATTAATTACATTCATCACATTCATTACATTCATTACATTGATTACACTAAATACATTCATTACATGAATTACATTAATTACAGTCACTACATCAATTGCATTAATTACATCAATTACATTAGACACATTGAATACATGAATTACATTCACTACATTAGTTACATCAACTACATTAATGTAATTAATCATATTGAAAATATTAATTACATCAATTCCATTTATTACATTAACTGCATTTATTACATGAATTACATTAATTACATTAATGACATTAATCACATGAATTACATTCACTACATTAGTTACATCAACTACATTAGTGTAATTAATCATATTAAATGCATTAATTCCATGAATTCCATCCATCCATCCATCCATCCATCCATCCACCGAGGATACCACGATACTTTGCTCCTGACCAACCTATCGGTGCTGCTGTGGCAGGGCGCGGTGCCCTATGCTTTGTACTACTCGGAGCCTGGGGAAGCCCTTGGGTCCGCCCTTGGGTCCCGGAGGGGTGAAGGATTGGACTGATTGGACCATGAAAATCATGGGGGCTGACCAAACGAATGTTGATTTCCACGTGATTTAAACCTCGTAATTGTGAGTTGACCATGAATTTAAATGGCAATGTTGCTCTCAAGTGTAATGTTACCATCACTATTGTCAACAGTGGTTCTAGCATCAATTTTGGTTTTACCAGCAAATATTTTTTTTGGGGAGGATACTATTTGGTAATCAAATATGGCAACCATAGATGAGTTTAGTATTGAACATGGGAAGTACAATTGCCACGAAAGGAGGACACCTACAACATACCCAATGTTTCCATGAATCCGCAATGATTGGATGACAATCCCAGATTTTTTTTATCTGCGTTGGGTAGATGAAGGTTTTTCTGTTTTTTTTGACACATGGGGATCATGGGGAATATTTCATGAGAAACTTCAGGGTTTCCAAATGATTTCTAGTGAAATAGGATGGGTTGGTCCTGAAAAAGGAACCAGATCTTCGTAGTTTTTTGCACCCTGACCGGCGCACGGCAGGGCAATGATCTTCAAGAGTTCGTACTATGATCTCTGAAGTCCATAAATGTTTAGTCTGCAAGCGTATCCCAGTGATGGTTGTTGTTGTTGTTGTTGTTTTTTTTTCAGCCAGTGACCATTGACTAATTTCAGATCATCCCAGGCTTGTTGGTTCAGCAGCACATGAAATCACCAACTGGCTCCAGATGGATCATTCCAAGTGTCAGCAACTCTCCAAACTTTCAGGTTTGGCCCAGAAATTTGTGACCCCCATTGACTCTGCAGTAATACGGGGCTTAAATCGATATGGACAAAACCATCAGCTTTCTCACTAGATTCTAAATTTCCACGAAACCATCGATTTCCACATCGATTTGTCAATTGGAACCTTCTAGGATCCAGACAGCAGCTGGAGAGCTCTCTGGTTCTTCCTTGCTGCGCTGGGCAACTTCTACGCAGCCGCCACTGTGCGCTTCAACGACTCTGGCTTCACCAGTGGCCTATGCAACTGGGTTCCCAAGATGAAGCGATCCAAGACTAAACCAGCGGATCAGTTGGGGCATATTTAATCTTAAGATTATGAAAAGGGGATGGGATTCTTTGGGTATGGCTCGTTTTTTTGAAAGACGAGGATTTTTTGCTTTCACCTTTGCTAGAGGCTATTGGTATTGAAGGATTCTACGTTGGGATATCTAGTGACTTGACCCATTGGCATTTGTGCCATGGTGATTTTTGGAAGGGCTAAGTGCCCATGGTGATTTTCGCTTGGGCACCGAGGAGGGCACCGAGGATTCACTGTAGGGCTTCCCCCGTTGCGAGGCATGTTTCTGCCGCCATTTTTGATGTTCAACCAGCTCCTGATCTACACTTTGGGCTATCCCACCATGGTCCTTGCAGGCAATGGGGAATGTCCCGTTGTAGCTGCGAACCAGTGGATTTTGATTGAAGATGGCGTAACAATATAATACAATAGCATACAATATATACTTGGCCAAGCTTTAGGAATCTTTAGGATATATATATATATATAGCGATCTTCCAAGAGCTGTTGCTCGGATGACCTCCTATCGATGTTTCTGGATGACTGTCTTTGCTTTCCACTCCTGGATGGCTTTGGTCGAAGTGGAACATGCTGACTTCAGTTGTTGCAACAACAATGTCTACAGATGTGTACAGATGTCTACAGATTGCTTGTGCCCAACCCCTGTGGACGTTTGGCAGTCAAAACTCAAGAGCTCTATCGATTATCCTTTCTGTTCTAAACCCTTCAAAGTTTGACTTAAAACTAGCAGTTTGACACTGTTTGACCATCCGCTGCGTAGATGTTGTGTACCGCTAAGGCGCGACCTGCGGCCGAAGCTTGGTTCTTCACTTTGGCGCTGACCCTAGGTGCTTCCTGTGCCTGATTGCTGCCGTAGGCATGGGCTGGTTCTTCCGCGATGTGTGCTGCTGGGTGCCGCACTTGGGACATCTTGGAGGTGCGGCTGTACTGATCAGTTAGGGTACAATGTGGGGCCCCCCAGTTATAAGTTGGTTTATAAGCCCCAGTAATTATAGTTATAAGTACCATAAACCATAGTTATTGGAGTTATGAACCAACTTAGCTATCTAGGGGGCCCCACTTTGTAGTCTTGTGTTTTTTTTCTGCTTAACTGCTTGATCTATGTTCGGACATCGCTGGTCTAGCCTGCAAGAATCATCAACAACATTCAACAACTGTTTTTTTTTCCGGAAAACGCCGCAGGACAAGAACTTTTTTTTGGGCAGTCACAGTCAGAGGGTCCATTTCCCAGAACCATTTTCCACGCCACGACATGCAGTACATCATGGTGAGGAGCTGGTTCATCGGAGGGCTTAGATGCTTCCTATCAACGAGCTGGGCGCTATCCTGCCTGTTTCGCAGTGACCTTGGCAATTCAAAAGGGGAGCCCCATAAAATGGCAATTCAAACAGGAAAAATGACGATGACCAGAGGTTTTTGGGGTAGAGATTTCTTTCACTTTGGAATGGGGAATATTTAAAGGGATCTGCAACAAACAAAATGTGGTTTTGCCTGAACATGGGGTATACGGTCTAGCTCCAGATTGTGTGTAGTCCTGGGGAAGAGCGACCATTTCGGCCTGCAATTGAGACAGTCTGGTGTCAGGAAAGTTGGAGCTTTATAGCAGAGGCACCCAACAGGTTCGTGTTTGGAAAATTGTTTGGCCACTGAGGCAGCCATGGTGTTGGCCGCACTGACTGCAGCAGCCTTCAGTTCTTGGGTGATCCACAGTGGTGTCATAGCCCTGACCTTGGCGGTGGTGGCGTGCCAGATGGGCTTGACCATCTTCAGCTTTTGAGACCGAAGGTCCAAGCTTTGCGGCGATGAGAACAAGCTGCACAGGTTGTGGGGGTGTCTCAAGCGAAATTTGAAAGTTGCCGGCTTTTAGGGGTAAGGAGTCAGAGTTTTGTGTTTTAAATTGGGCGAAACATGGGGCAGACTGGCAGACCTACACTTGCTGCACTATTCGCTGGGTCCAGGGTCTGTACAGAAGATTCTCTTGCGATCCAAAAGGCATGCCTTGTGTACAGCTGGGGCAGTGAAAAGGCAACGAGTCAGGATGCGTCAGGTGTTCCGGCTGCCAAGCCCTGGCCTCATCCTGTGCGGAGTGACCTCAATTTTGTGAACTGTTGTAATTTGCATTTGGAGGGGCTTATGTCTAAAGTACCCATTCTGACTAATTCCTGGATGGGCGTGATGACCTTCCCTACGACAGGCGAAGAACAGCCTCTTCAAGTTTGGCTCCAAGGCTGTTTGGCATGCGGGTGGGTGGTAGGGATGCACTTGGCCCGCATTTTTAATTTTGTTCCACACTTAACTTTTGTCCTTTATAGCTGTAGACTCAGTGTAGACCTGCCCAAAGTTTCGTTTGGTTCCACTGGATTGGCGATTTTGGCCGGAATAGCAGACATCTATCAATTTCTGACGAGCCCATGGCATCTAATATAGCAAATGTCGCAATGGACATCCGCATGTTTCACCGGGCACACTTAAATCGTCACGTCGGGAGACTTTGGCATCAGGGTGTTGTCAGGCGGGCTGACGCGTTACGCGATCTGACGCGATCTGAGTTTTTTGGCCGCGCGAGACGGTGCCCATTTACCGATCATCTAATGGCGGTGGGCGAGAGGGTAAGCACAGAAGATGGGAGTGCCTTCTGTGAAAAAATGTGTTCCATGGTGTTCCCATAGCTCGCGGAGGGAAGTGGTTGAAAGCCTAATTCGTCTGACGAGTCATTGATGGAAGAGGATGGCACTTGGCCATCTTGGTATCACATACCAGTGGTTAGCAATCACATCTTGATCCCCATGAACAACCGCAGCCATATCCTGAATCTTGGCGCTCACTATATAGTTGGATCCCAAAGATAACGCTCTGCAGGCCTTGGGCTTTGAGCGCTGATACACACTTGGAGAGCAGAAGCAGATGTAAGCAACCCATACAGCAGGATATAGCCGACAAATGACGTCAGACCCAATGAGCTTCCACCCAGGACATCTGGTTCAACCTGGCAATAGAAGGCCCAGATGTTCTAACCCATGAAAAACAAGAGCTCTCAGCCATTTAGCCATGTTCGCGATTTGTTGAGGTTGAAGCTCACTAAGTGCAGCAATTTACCGGGACCCCTTAAATTTTTGGGGAAAAAAACCCTTCCCGCGTAGCTGTTGCATGAAGCCTCGCTGGCGCCTGGGCCTGTTGGCCTGCGGCCTGGTGCTGCGCCCCAGCCTTTGGACCCGTGCCATGGCGACCGCGGGTGACCGGGCGCCCAAGCGTCGGAAGGGCACGTTTGCTTCGGGCCAGACGCAGCAGTTTGCAGAGGCTACACCCTTGGGTCGACAATAAGATGTTAGGATGAACAAGCCTCCGCCTAGTTGGTTCGTAGAGGGATAGCGGATAGCATTTTTAAGGGTCATTGTATGACTATATTTTGGGGTAATCCACCCAATTGAGAGTCAGGGTTTGTTAATCTGAGGTTGACATAACTTCCAAAACTAGACAACGATTTTTTTTTGGGCAGGGTAAATCTGTGTGCCATATTCTGGGTCCTTTGAACTCCCGTGAAATTTCAAAGGCAGCAATGGTTGGGTCCAATGGCTCAAAGGGTTGACATCCCTCGGGATGATGATGGGATGAAGTGAGTCAGAAGATAGCCATCAACCAGAGGGACCAGAGGTAACGGGATATCTCCTACAATCATTTACCACTTTCAACCCAATATGGGTTTGTCTGAAAATAGGATACCCCCAATTCCAATGGCCATTTGTGGGTATTCACCCCCTTAAGTAGCCACCAACTTGCAAACAGGGATAGCCATGCAGCGTCATGAAGCAAAATCCACGTCATCAGCATGGCCATGTGGCACCAGGAATGCCAGTGAAGTGATTATCAATGACATGCGATTGGGTGCCCCAGTCGAGGAAACCCACAAAGTGTCTTGTGATGTCTGAGGTACTTATGATACTCCAATCACAGTTCGTTATGTCCTCATGATATCCTCATAGCTGCTAGTTTCTATCTTGATTTTTCTGTTTTTTTTAGTGGCCGTTCCGAATTTTTGTTGGTTGTTACTGTACCCATTTTTGCTTGAAGATACCTTCATTGATCATTTTTTCATTTTTCATATTTTTCTTGTTTAGTTTAGATCTTAATCATTGGGGGTGTACGGTCTCCAAGCGGCGTGTCACCGTGTCAATCAATGCATTGCTGAGAAGGAACCATCTACACGAATAACAGTTCTCTTTGAAACATAAGACACAAAGTGATTGTTTCATGAAAAAATACATATGGCTCTCCGTCGTAATCGTTTTTCTATCAAAGCCAACGGAGCCATATTGACATACCCTGATTGATTGGTAAATAGGGAGTTATACCACCTGGTTTGTTGGATTATGAACTAACCCATAGGGAAACTTGTCAACCAACAAGGACCAGTAGAATGGGATAGGGGTACAATTCAAGTTGTATTGGAAGTTTCCCTCCTATGAGATGGGATAAGGGACATCAAGTCCCAGAATTGGAATTGAACCCTTAAAAAATGAGTACTACCGTAGATGAATCAGTACAATGGGTTAGTTCATACCCCCCAATAACATCCAATAACCCTATCATTCGTCCCGTCCCCCTAATATTAAACACCCAAAAAGACCATGGTGTTACTGTATTAGGGGACTTCCACCTCATTGGGACCATACAATGGGGCTGTTTATGATGGAACAATTACGAACGCCGGCCGTATGACGGGGATGGGATGAAAAAATGGATGAAATAATGGAATCAAAAAAAGAATTACCTCGAATAAGTACCCTCTGGTAATTTAACATAGCCATTGAAAATGCTGATTTATAGTGGATTTTCCCATTGAAAATGGTGATTTTCCATAGCTATGTTAGTTTACCAGAGGGCAGAATGGGTTGGCTCATCCCCAAGAACCCCTACAATAGTACTACCCTCCGGTAAACTAACGATTCACTATGGAACATCACCATGCTATTAATGGAATTTATCCACTATTTCTATGGCCATGTTCAATAGCTAATTATGTTAGTTTACCAGAGGGTATTTGAATAGTCCCCAGCGATGGAAGAAATGGGAAAAAACACGCTAGGTGGCCGGCGCGCTGGAAGCCTACTTTGATGGGCTGCATCGCTGCGATGTGGAGCGGCTGAAGGACTGGAGTCGGGGACGGACTGGAGATGTTTCAATGATTTAAAGATCTTGTGGATGGAAATAGATGATTAATAGATATTAATAGACACATTAAATGATTAATAGATGACTATTGAGATGATTATTAAATCATGTGGATAGTTTAATGGAAACATCTCAATCATTTAATAATATTTAATCCCAAGATGGGGATGGAAGAAAACCTGGACCAGTTTGGTAACTATTGGGATTCCGTCATGAAACACTGAGTAAAATTTACCGGATTATACCCGGCTACACCACCTACCATCATCTACCAACTGGTCAACTGGTGCAGGATTTCTTCCATCCACGGTAGTTCAAGCAGCAAAGATAAGGAATGATCAACAAAATGGGGACCGATACCGATTGATACCTTGTCTCTATCTCCAAATCCTAAGTGCATCCCAGAACGCATCAGTTGGCACATCGAACGGGGATGATGAGTCAATCCAGCCGACTTTGGTAATCTTTGAGCTACATGTGGGGGGTTCATCAACTCCAAATGGCTGTGGCTGTGGGTCAAGATCAACATCTATTGGACCATTGGGTCATGATTCACATCCCAGTGACTGGCAACATTCGCAAGGGAGACCTGCAAGATACATCTCACCACTCCCCGACAGTGATGAACCTCTCAAGCTCATAAATGCATTGTAAGTAGCTGGCTTCTAACCCTTTTATGATAAATATACTCGTTTCTAGGATCTATCAGGGGATATCATTCAATCCTCCAGTTGCTCCCTTCTCTCCAACATGAAGTGCCACCAAGGGAAACTCTGGATTGGTATCCATTTATTTTGGAAGGGACATTCAGGTCATCTTTAGTATTCGGGGCTTCGATTTGAAGCTCTTTTCAAGAAATCCTAGTATATTTTTACCCAAATGTTATAGTCAATCAACTTTCAAAATGAAGCCCGCAATCTGATACTTAATCTTACAGAAACAGGTCCCAACGTCAATATTTATAATTTCTTGTTGAATGAACCGTTGATCAACTTTTGTTATGTATTGTTATGTCATGATTCATGATTTTTGTTCCCAACATTCCAAGAAGTTTTCTGAATTTTCGAATCAAAAGGTCACTTTTGATTCGTGACGTCGTGACGTTCCCAGGAGGTCTGGCATCCGGAAGGCCACCTCTATGGCATCGCGCCCAGTGGAGATGTGGTGGACCGGAACGCAGAGACCTTCTTCGATGGCGTGGCCAAGCGAAAGACTTCCGAGGAGTTGGAGGAGCATGACAGGATCATCAGGTGGAGAACATCACCCAAAAAACAGAGAAAACATGGGACACGATGATCATTTGTATGGGAAAAAAATGATATATATATATATATAACATATATATATATGTAACACACACACATATATATATATATAGATATAATATATGATTTCTTCTTCCCCCACCTGCCAGTTGCGGGACTCTAGATTTTGAGAAAGACATCCGGTTCCTTCCTGCCTCCCACTCCCATCTCCCTCCTTCTCCCTTCTCCCTCATCCTCGTCCTCCTCCTTGCCAGCTTCCTCGCCAGCAGATCATCCTTGCTGTGTTCTAGATGGTTATATCCCCATCAATTGATGGACACTGCCAACTATGTATGGATGGTCAATATTTATGGATGGTCAAATCTTCATTTTAGACTCTTCTATGGATTTCTGAAGCGTCAAGACTCACATGTTGCCTGAAAATCCACAACTTCATGATTAATATGGATCACCCAGATATATTATCCATATAGTATCCATAATTAATATGATCATTAATCCCATTGTTATCCCAATATTATCCATATATCATTGGGATAATATCATCATATTATATTATCCAATATTATCCATATATCATTGGGATAATATCATCATATTATATTATCCAATATTATCCATATATCATCATAATTATCTCAACATTAATATTATTAATATGTTCATCACCCCAGGTCCCATCCACATCGCCGGAGGCTGGACTTCGCCTCGCCCCGCTGCTGCGCTGCCAAGGTGCAGATCGCGCTGCCCGCAGCGCCCACGTCGCCCACGCCAAGCCTCACGGAGGCCCGGGATACCCTCTGGTTATGTCAAAATAGCTATTCAAAATGACCATTTATAGCGGATTTTCCCATTAAAAATGGTGATTTTCCATAGTTATGTTAAATTACCAGAGGGTAAATGGCGAAACCAGACAGCAACACATGGATTTTATGTTTTTTTTTTCAGTAACAATCCATGGTGAGTTTTGAAGAATTGCTTACATGGGGATTTACCATCCATAAATAGGTTTTTTTTTGTCAACATTTATCATGCAGTAAGTCCAAAGCTAAACACTTTGGTTGTGATAAATACGAGGATTCTGATAGGAAGCAACTTGGATATCAACTTTTCGCCCGCTGCCGAGGTGTTGTACACCGATTTCCTCATTTTGCTTCGCTTGAAAGGCCGGTGGCAGATCATTAGCATCTTGGCAGCGTGGAAGGGTCAAAGTGCGACAGGCAAGGGAGCAAGGAAACCCTCTGAGTTTCAGAATGATGAGTCCTTTGGCTCAGTATCTTCTCATCGAGATTCATCAGCAAATCATCCAACAACTCATCTCAAATCATGCTATTTTCATGGGTCGCTGGATTGATTGCAAGGATCTTGAGAAAAAAAACAAAAAATACCTTACTTCGAGTGATCTCCACCCTGACACACTATTCTGACATGGTTTCTGACATATCACATATCATGTGGACATATATATGGCATATATATTCTGACATTCTATCTGGCATGTACTCTGAAATTCTTCCTGGCATTCTTCTGGCATTCTATTTGGCACCTATTCTGACATTCTTTCTGGCATCATCTGGCATCTATTCTGGTACTCTCTCTGGCATCTATTCTGACATTCTGCATTCTATCTGGCAGTCTTTCTGGCATTCTATCTGACATATCTTCTGACATTCTGTCTGGAGTTCTATCTGGCATTCTCTCTGGCATGAGTTCGGGTCCAGGCGCAATCCTGGGCTGGCGATTTGGAGTTTGGGTCCAGGCACGCTCCACAGCATCCTGGGCTGGCGATTTGGTGTTCCGGAGGAGGAGATGGAGGAGGAAGAAGAGAAGGAGAAGGAGTTGCACCTTTCTTAAAATCTAGAGACCCTCACCTGGCAGGTGGGGAATAACGGGGCACCAGGGTTTGGACACCAAATTTTAGGATCTGTTGACTTTCCAAGCACCGAGGCAAAGTCTTCTCGGCTGTCCCTCTGTCGCAGCTCTGGTACACGGAGCGGTTGGCAAGGGTGAGATGGGGAAAATCCATCATCCATCATGTCGGAGGCTGATGAAAATAACGATGAGGTCGGGGTGTTTGATGTTGATCACTCATGTTCTGTTTCTGCAACTCTGAAGTCTTTCAGCAGGCGGCACCGATCAGCAGACAGAGCCAACTTGTACCTCAACCAGACCCTTCAAAACATTTCAACACATTTCATCCCAAAATGATGGCTGTCCACTGCGTGGCAGGAGCCTTACGACACCTTAGCCTTCGCGGCCAGCGACCCGGTGAGGGGTGTCTTGGAATACTTTCGTGGCGGTCACCTTTCGAATCTTGCCTGCATGGGGGGAAACATGAGGTAATTACAGTAGTCTTGGAGATTAGAGGCAATAAACCATGATCAAACACGGGGATTCATGTTGGGCTACTGATGATTGTGTACCCGAGGCAATCAAACATGGGGATTTCTTTTTTGTCTTACCAACTGCGTCAGCTTTCGCGTGCTAACAAACAGGGTTTTGACACCAAGCAATGGTAATCGTGCCAAAAACATGGTTTGTGGCCAAAAGGAATGGCGATTGAACCAATGGTCACTGGATTAAGTGATGATTAATCCAATTTTGGACCATTTCTAGATTGAAGCAACCACAGTGGACATGCACCCGGGTCATCGCTCAGGAGGCCTGACATCTTGAGTCAGAACTTCCACGAGGCGGGCATCCAGAAACCATCACATTTGTGCATTTTTGATATAGGATTTGATAGGATTTAATGGGATTATATATGGGATCTGATATGATTTAATGAGATTTATACGGGATTTATATAATGGGGATTTGATTTTTGAGAGGGTTGAACGCACATGTATACTAGCCTCTTCGGGGACAAACTCTGACTTGACAATGGACTTTTTATGTATACCATCTACAAATGCAACATTTTCCAGTGCCATGCTTAAGCACGGTTGTATACCAACTACCAAACCCAACTGCATCCTCAACAAGAACCTCTCTTGTTTCAGGTGGCGCGTCTCTGCTTCTCCAATGCAGAGGAAGAGCTGGTCTGCTGGTCCAGGAGCCGTGCTGTTGATGCATTGGAAGAATCGGTCCTGGAGAAACCACTGGATGGGTAGGTAACAATGCATTGATCTTTTACTACCAATGATGATATATACGCCAATCAGCTGAACATCTACTCTTGGTACGGTGTCGATTGGCCAAAGGTCGATCACCTCTGCCACTGCCGATTCACCAACCGAGCATGGCCCAACTGGCGATGTGTTTTTTTCCTCCCGAATAATTTTTCTGGACAGTAACATCCAAAGCTAAAATTCAGTGGGACAGTTATAATAATTTTCCTTTCCAGGATGTTCTAGATGATGTTCCCACATCATTTCCAGACATATCTTAGGTTTCTAACTGTTTAAAACATATTTTGTTTGGTTCCTTTTTGAAATGCGCCTCCACATTTCAAGTGTTCACCGGCATCGAAAGTGCCAGACTTCCCCTACTTCAAAGCGGCGTTAGAAGCGTTATAACATGTTATAACAATAGATTGGTTTAAGGCAACATCTACAGGAAACCATCGATGTTCCCATGAATCATTGGGTTTTCCTGCAAAAAATCCCTTACCCTCTGGTAAACTAACATAGCTATTGAAAATGACTATTTATAGTGGAATTTCCCATTGAACATGGTGATTTTCCATAGCTTTTTGTATGTTTACCAGAGGGTAATCCCCCGCTTCCCCTGGTTGGATGCCGCAGGAGCGACTTCGCAGAGGTGCTGCGACAGCAACCGGTGACGGCCGCGGAATCGGAGGCGCTGCGCTTCGACAAGATCTTGGGCGTGGACAAGGCAGGCCCTGACGTGGCGTTGATCAAATTGCAGCGACTTGGCGGGGGAATCCTGGGGGAAATCAGGCATTTTTCGGGGGAAAATCATGGGCAATCATGGGAAATCAGCAGGCATATATATATATATAATATAACATTTCTGGCAGCTTGAAACCACCACACAGCATTATTTTTTGGAGGTATTTTCGTGGTTTAGCAACCTTCAATGTGAAGCGTTGCGTGAACGGATTCGTTTTGATGTAGCTAAGAATGAGGAATATAGCTAAGAATGAGGAATATGTACCACTTAAAACTGACGATGCCGCGGGGCGAGCTTGGTAGTAAACGTGTTACAATCATCGCAATGGGACCTCGGTTGGAGGTCCCATGGAAACACTCACGTTTCTTCCCAAGGATCGGGTATCCACCTCTTTTGTACACCGACTTCTTGTCCATGCTGCGGTTGCATGGCCATTGGTGGATCATTGCCAAGAGCAGCGACAGTGAAAGCTTCGAGTGAAAAAGGTGTATGGCGATGTCACCGCTGATTGCGATTTTGCCAACGAAGAATTGACTTTCACTGACTGTACGTAACTGAACCCGGACCCCAAAGGATTTCTTACACGCATAATTATATATATATAGATCTATATATTCTACAACCCTTTTGGTTGTTTTGGCTGTTTTGGGAAGTTGTGACTTGTGACTTGCCTTCCCCCATTTCTTACCCGAGATCCGCATGTCATGTTGGGGCCTCAGTGATCCACTTGTCCGCAGCTTCAGTCATCTCAGGATTGGCCTGAAAGATCAGTCAAAATGTTGAATCATTTGACATTTGATCATGGCATGAAATCATGTCAAGGCACCATGGAAATCTTTGGAAATCACCTTCCATAAGTCCATGAGTTCATGAGTCCATGACATCATTTTTTCGTCGCAAAACCCTTCAGGGCGCCTTTCAAAACAGCACTGGAACCAGGCCCCTTGTCTTTCCATTTTCCCGTTTTTCGCTGTCGTGATGCCGATGCCCGACAAGATCACCAACACCATATCAAGGAATGACTCAGAAGGCGAGCTGAGAGCACGAACAGCACCTTGATGGCAGGTGCCCATCCCGGGATCATCCAAGTTGTGCAGCAAATCACGGTCCAAAAAACAACCACCTGAGGACCTGAAACCAGATGAGTTATGATGAGTTATGATGATTTGTAAGTGAATTCATCCCCCCCATGATTCATAAATCATGACCTTGAAATCTCAAACATCTTTGGGCCGCATCTTAGATTCATCACGGGTCTTGGCTTCCCTTTCTTCAAATTCCTGCGCTGAGGAGAGTGGCGTCAATGTGCTGATCCATGGGCAAGAAACCAAACAACTGGAGAAAACCTTAGATGAGTTGTCCCAACACCAGAATGCCCCAGGCCTCATGAGGATGATTTCGCCCCTTGGATGCCAGTCCGGTTGAGTTTGACATGCCAGTCTTGTCTAAAGGCGATACCAAACAAGGACCACCCGCAATACAGCTGCTCAGCAACCCCTCAGCGGTAGACAGAGACTGGTTAGCCGCAGAATGCCTTCACCAAGTCACTTGGGAGGGATTCCATGGGATTCCCTGTCCGTTGCCAGCGACAGTTCACATGACCTGGACCATATGCTGAAAGTGAGGGATGTGAACCTGGTGGAACATTTAGGGAAAGTGATGACAAGCAACCGTATGTCATTAAGACGACACTTACATGTTTACGCAGGAAGAGAAGACCAACTCACCAAGGGGGATCACCGCAGAGTTTCTACTTCAATGAAAAATCACAGCATGACGTGAGCCACTCGCCCCACATGCGCCATGGAGATCGAAGTGGACGAGGACGACGGCCCTCCGCCGGTGTCCCCGCCTCCCGTGGTGCCGCCGTCGCCCGCGCGGCGCGAGGACCGCACCGGGGAGCGGCGGCCCTCGAACTCGGTGGACGGCAGCGGTGTGTTGGGCACCCGCGGGAAACCACAGAAGGTGGTGGAGAAACCCAGCGCGGAAACCACGCGACTGTGCCGGGGAATGATATCGGGGAAGGGAGATGGGAAAAACGGGGAGAGGGTGGGGGTAGGTTCCTTTACCATCCTTTATTTGGGAGAAAAGTAGTGTATAGAACCTGAATATTGGGAAGATGTGGGGTCCCGCTGCTCCCCATCTCTCAGGTGGTATTTGCTCCAGGAGAAGAAGACCAAAGCTTTTGGTGATTGGTTGTCGCACTGGGAGGGGCAACGGGAGGTGAACATCAAGGAAACTCACCTGCAGTTCTTCACTTGGGTTTGTCCATTTTGGGAATACCGGAGTACCCCACAATGGCAACTTTTGTAATAAGGTTTAATAAGGAAAATGAGCATACGCCATGGGATTTTGTTTCAGACAAACCTCGTTGTGTCACTTGAGCTATTTTCGAGGATGGGACGTAGTGGAGCTGCCTTCCTGGAATTCCTCATTTGTGCTGAGGACAAAGCCTTCGGATGGACCCCCATCCACTTCGCAGCACACAAGGGCGCCTCGCATTTCGTGAAGTTGCTGGCTGAGACTTGGACTGTGAGAATTGGATTGGAGGAACTATCCACAAGAAAGGCCTCGTTTCGTCTTGGTGAGTTGTCAATAATCCATCCATATTTTTACAATTTCATGTAAAAAGACATTGTATGACATACATTAATACATACATTTTGCAATACATTTATCGAATTGATCAAGGTCCGATCACTGAGACGTGGGTCAAAGATGAACTGATGGTTGCAGAAGCAAGATGGGCTGACGTAGCTCATTTTTCAATAGGGTTAGTTCTAAATGTGGGAAAATCATCAGGGTATGAACAAACTTGCACACCCAGAATGAATGGATCCAAGTGGGAAGGTGCCCATTAAAGCACATCATAGAACAAATAGATAAAAACAATTAAACAACTAAATAAAGATAAAACTTGGGATATACCCTGTTCTGAACGTATACCTTTCCAATACATGCGATATAGCCCATGTAGTTCACAATACATTGAAGTGTAAGCAACATATTTTCTTGATCATATTTTGGACCATGAATCCGACCAGCTACTTGTAGTGGCAATAGCTACCCAGGATCCAAACGGAAGGTGAGAAGGGATTGAGGCAGTGCTTGCAACTGAACATGAGAGAAGTTGCCGCCCCCCAAACTATAACGGCAGATTTCCTAAGCATCAACTGTTGCAAGCCTCAATTTTTTTTTCAGGGCTGTAGCCTCCTGAGCATGTGACCAACCTGCTGTAGATCATTGGAAAACATGCAGCATACTGACGAGATCCGACCAAGTTCTATCCTTCTTATCGTCATGCCCCCCCATCATTACTGTTCATGGGGTCTAGCTCCTGTTCCCAACTCACTCCTGGGAGTCTCAGTGCCAGGAAGGCAAAGCACAATTAGACACGGCCTGTGGCGAGGGAAACACGGCCTTGATGTGCGCGGCAAGACAGAACAACGTGGCTTGGGCTGACGAACTTGGATCAGCGGAATCTTCAGCAAATGGGGCATCTGGAAAAATGCCAGGAGATGGGTGTTTTCTTGGTTGACCAATGTTGACCATGATAAGATATGATAAGTGTCACTGAATTTGGTTATCCATTCAGACCATGTGAGAAGATGTTAGAATCTCTTGCGATTCTGATGACGTCTCCAAAAGCCTGGACGAAACAGGCACGGAATTCTACGGGGTCTGAACATTGGGGATACATCAAAATAACAATGTTACTTTTAATGGGGAAATAAGATGATGAAGCATGAAATTCTTGGGGTCCCTATCTTCAGACCCATGTACATCAACATGCTTCAAGAGTTCCTTAACTGGAAACCATCCCATCAACAGGCAAATCAAACCCAGTCAATTTATAATTCCTACTTGAAGTGACCCTCCAACTCAGAACTATATATATATATATAATTATATACATAAGTTAACCAGGCACCCTGTTTCCCAATGACCTTCCCCCCCAGCAGTCCACCACGTCATGTCGTCCAAGCTCAGGTGAGCACAGTGTCTTATCTGGTGGGCAAAAAAGCCAATCTGAATGCCGTGACACGGCCGAGCTTGAGATGCTTGTGGGGATGGGGATAGCCCCTGATGTCCTCGATTTTTTTGGTGGAAAATGCAAAGTTCAGGCTTTGTCTTCCCAAAGATCCAAGAGCTTTTTTGGGATACGAATCTGCACTTTCGGTACTGAACCCCGTGGCCGGAGACGCAACGTCCTCGTCAGTGGTTTTGATCCGTTGCTGTCCATCCCTGGGATGACTATGGATGACTTATTTTCCATCGCCACATTAATCACTGCCACATTGTTGATCATGTAACTCTAGAAAGTAGCCTAGTGTTTCAAAAAAGATACTGTTCGATATTGGGGGTGGGTTGCTATATACGTGACTATGTTGTTTTTTTTCCTGCCTATCCCAGGGCCCTTTACCAGGTGAACAACAATGGCTGGAGCGCGTTGATTTGGTGCGCCATCAATGGCTGCGAAGAGGTCGCTACGGCACTGCTGAGCGCGTCGGCCAACTATTTGACGGCGGACAACGAGGGAAGGAGCCGGGTGGGGTGCATGCCAGTTACGGTATGTCATGGGAGCCATTTGAAGAAAACCGGAGGGTCGGAAGTGGGTAACAGTTAGTACTATCATATCCCAGATATTATCTGTGGAATATCCGCAATAATGATGTGACCACTTACTTGGATGCACATTCAAGAAACGGGGTGTTTAATCGGGTAGCGGGAGGGCAACTGCAAGATTGTTGACGTTTTTGTTGGGGGGAGGATGATGCCTACGTTTTAATGGGTGTAGAAGTGAGATATCTCGTCAGGAGACTTTGTGTCAAGGTTTACTCAGAGCGCCTAAGAGATTTGGGTGCAAGTGGAATATTTTTTGTGAGCCAGATGTTTTGTCATGATGTTGCTAGGAGATTGAAGGGCCAAGTGGACTGGTTGGTAGTTTGAAACATGAGTATGTCGATCAAAATTAGATACCCTTGTGACCGCAGATTTTGGATGTAATATGATGTTATACACATGTATGTATACATACATGTTACATATATATATATATAATATAGACTGTACACACACCCATATATATATATATATACACCTGTTTTTTTGGTACACCATTTTGACCCAGTGCATGTCTTTATTTACCTATCCCTCTTCAGACGATGACATGTGGTGTATTTGGGTCAGGGGGTACCATGGGTTTGACCCATGCCAAGCCCGGTAAGCATAGCTGTTATCTCGGGAACAGCGATCTTAGGATTTTTTTAAGTTCAAGAGAAATTAGATATTATACAGATATCCATACAATCTGTATAATATCTATAGATATTTCAAATCCCGAATTAGGATATCTGTATAAACTAGATTTGGGGTTTGACAGTCCCTGTGAATGGAGGGAAATCCCCCAAAAGATGCGATCGTGAACAACAATCGCAGTTAGTCTTGGTGGTCATTTGGAGCAACAACCATAGCGAGCTGATAATACCTTCAACATCTAGTTTGTATCAGCTGTTTTTGATGGTTTTTGTAATTTGACTGGCAAGTTGATCTACAAATCACCAGCTCTTAAAAACAGAGCTTACGATGAAGGTCATCTCCATTTGGGACGAGCCGCCAAGTAAAATGCTACATGATAGTTATTCCCATTGCAATCCCACGGTCAACACAGTTATATCAATATCCCATAACATGGCATATTTAGTATGATCTTGTTAAATCCAATATTTAGTAAGTTATAAATTATATATATATCCGTAACTATTTAGTTTGTTAGGTTGTTAGTTTGCTATTTCCTTAAGTAAGTAAGTCAGCAAGTAAGTCAGTAAGTAAGTCAGAAAGTAAGTAAGTCAGTAAGCAAGCAAGCAAGCAAGCAAGTTAGTTATATTCCCATCGTAGTATCTCCCATGATCCCTTCAGAACGATGGGGACCGGGTCCGTATCTCCCAGCAACGTTATCGAGGACCGCCTGCATGTGGGCGGCACGACATGGCCATCTCTCCATGGTGGAGACCTTGTTGGCCAACGGTTTGAATCTGCTGCAGGCCCGCTGGGATCCATCAGCATCGATGCCATGGGGATGGGTCATTTTGGGTAGCAGCGTTTGGGTACCAGGGTTTGGACCCATGACCATATGGGTATTGACGAAGATGGGGATGGATATGGTGATTGATGGTGATTGGTGGTGATTGATGATGATTAATGGATCATTAATCACCATTCATCACCATCACCAAATAGTAGGTGTATATGATTATGTAAGATGTATGTTATCTATGTTATGTATATATATATATTATACATATAATGTAAATGCACACAGGTATTCTGTATGTAGATACATACATATATACATACATACATACATACATACATACATACATACATACATACATACATACATACATACATACATACATACATACATACATACATCATACATACATACATACATACATACATACATACATACATACATACATACATACATACATACATACATACATACATACATACATACATACATACATACATACATACATACATACATACATACATACATACATACATACAAATTGTGCATATGTACGGAATATATTATTCTGTCTCTACTTAATACAATATTCATACATACATATCATGTATACTTGGAGGATGACCCGGCGGATCGCAACGAAAACCCGACCAGGGAGTTTTTAAAAATCCCCGGGTTGACAGAGGCGGGTCGTCAGCCATGGCTGGCCGCAAATCCAGCCTTCGCATGGGGGGTTGTCTCCATGCGCGAAACCACGATGTTGTTTTGTTGCTTTCATTAACCATTACCATTAATCACCATTAACCACCATTAATGGTAATTGTTGATGGTTAATGATTAATCACCATTAATGGGATTTATCGGTTTGTCTCCAAATGGAGTAGTAGCAGCTATGGACCATCCCAGGCTTTAGATAGAAATCACCGAACCAGGTGGATGACGCTGGGCTCACAGTGTACGACCACGCGCAGGTGCGAAAATGGTGACGACCTGGATCGGAGTTTCCATCCCCAAATTGTTTTTTTTGCTCAGTTCAGCTGAAATGGCTATTTGATGCTATTTGATCCACTCAGAATCATGACAAAACTATCATTGAAACACCGTTCCCAAGACACCATTCTTGTGTTTGTTCAGAGGTTTTGTAATTTCTGCAGTGGACTTTGACAAGATCTGAGACTGTTGGAGAATGGGAATGGGCATGTACGAAACAGCATGAAACAGCTCATTTCTTTTATGGACCCCTAGGACGCACCACAATGGGCTGATCATTTGGCATTCAATATTCATTGATTTTTCATGATTTTCTGTTATCCTGGCTTGAGACATAGTTATGGGTCAAAGCATGTCAAAACCTCAAGATCGATGGGTACTTGGATGTACACCCAGTTGGCTCCACCTCTCAGGAGCAGTTAGAGATGCGGAGTTTGATTGCTGCAGTCCAGCAGGTGCCATGGGGTTAAAAAGACGGCCGTCTCGTTGTGTGCCCAGACACTGGAAACAGGTTTTAAATTTTTAAGTGACCGCTGGAAACCCAACACATGGAATGTGGATGGGTAAGCTACTTGTACATCCTTATTCTTCCTTAGCTCCATAGACCATCTTCAGCAAGACGACTCCAAGGTCAACGAAGAGCTGCAGCTGGCGGTTCGGAACAATGACGTCGATGGTGTCAAAGCAGCCATCGAAGAGGGAGCGGATGTGCCGCTGGGTGCTATTTGGGTCACAATTTGGGGCAGTTTAGAAATGGTAGGTGGTTCAAACACCCTGATTCTCCGACATGATATACTAAAAACCACAGTTCAACGGTGAGTTGCAAAAACACTGGCTAGATTTTGGCTTTTGGTCATTGAAGTTTTAGGGTTTCGGCAAGAGTCTCTCTGGGCGAACCTTTCGAGGACCTAGAGAAGACCATTCATAGTGGCTATTCCGCTTCCAGAGTACCAAGAGGATTACCCTCTGGTAAACTAACATAACTGTGGAAAATCACCATTTTAGTGGATAAATCAACTATAAATGGCCATCTTCAATAGCTATGTTAAATTACCAGAGGGTAAAAGACAACTTAATTCTACCAGGTTCGGTGGGAAGATGTTGCCAAATAAGCAACGGATCGAAGAGTTCTGGGCCCAGGAACGTTCAAGATGAGGACGGCTGGACTCCGCTGATGTGGGCTGCTCTACATCAATCCTTGGACATGGCACGCCGCGGGTGGATTCTCTTGGACATGTAAGATGGGAAAGACCAAAAACCAGTGCCATCGCAAGTAATTAAGACATGTCACATGACTATGTTGGCCATATGCGTTTGTCTAGAAGTAGAGGGTACCCCCACTCCATCCACTGGGCAATCACCATTCTCCCTATCAAACTTGGCATTTGCGAAGCTGATGGCCACTCAGCAAGTCATGACGCGCCCAGGGCCATTGTTATATCAAGTCCCATGTTTGACATTAAATTTACAGTTTTTTAACTGTTGAATCAAGATTGTTGATGGTTCAATCCACCCATTTTTTCATAGTTGTCGCTATAAATCAATCCTCATTTCTGGTTCTCAGTTGTTTGATGCATTTTGATCCTAGTTTTTCATGGTTCAATCCACGATTCTTGGGAGTCAAATCAGGTTAACTCACCACTGTTCATGGTGGGACTCCGAAGTCCCATCGCCAGGTGCAGCTGGTCATCCGCCACGGCGCCAATCCAAACCTGGTGGACGAGCGCGGAGAGGTGCTGCAGATGCTCAGCACGGATCACCTGGCGGTGGGCGAATCGGTGATCGAAATCGTGAGCTGTAACAAGCGGCTGTTGGAACATGCCAAGGCGGGTTGGGCGGGTTGAACCGCGACAGATTTTTGGGATGTGGGAATGGGTACCATTCAAAACCTATGAAATGCCATGGGGGAATAAACATACCATGGAAACCAACTATTTTAGGGCTTTGAAAGTTTTGACTCATAGCCAAATCAGATTATCATGGGGATACTGAAATGGGGATCGGGATATATATATATATATTATGTATTATAGATATATCTATATTATCTATAAATCAACTTAGTGGGGGTATAACGGGATTGAACGGGAAGATCATGAAACATGCCGGCGAGTTGGATGGATGGCTTTGGCGAGGCATTGGCTCTGATGATTGGGGGCATTTCACCATTGCAACCCCCCAGAAAACTGGGATAATGTGGGTAAAACAATCATAAACCACCCATTTTTTTTTTTTTTTTGTACCACCTATTTATGGTGATTTGGGGGATGGATTATTATGTTTTACCCACACTAATGATGATTTAGGGGTAATGATGATCATTTATAATACGCCCTCAGATGATTTAGTTCCATTTTCTTCAAACTTGAAATGATCCGGGATAATGATGGATAATGATGATCAATCGATTTAGGGCTATTTTCAGACAAACCCGACAAACCCAAATAAAGGTTTGTGATTTCATATGATTTATGAACATCATTTTTGGCTTCGGAATTGCACACATACATTTTAACTCATCAGCCAGTGGGGATGGGGGATATTTAGGTGGTATTTTTACCCATCAATCAAGACGGGTTATTACCAACAGGATCCAACAGGGTCTCAGAATTGGATCCAGAGAACATTTATGAAACCAGCAGACTTGATAGGAATGCATCAGACTATCTGGAATATTGATGAATATTGGTTAGTAAGGGGAATCATCACCAAATAGCCTTATTTCAGGTGAGTGAAGTATTAAAACTTATCCAGATCTATGGTTTCATGTAAATTTTCCCTTCAACCGACCCCATGAGAATGGGGAATGGATGGTGGATACGGTGGGGCAAGGGGTTCCCCCCATCTTCGGCGAGAAAAAAACCATCTTCCAGCGCAGTGACCGTTAGGACTGGGTGCGGGATTGCCAGGAGCAGTTCGTGAAAACGCACCCAACCTGGATATGTATATACAATTATATACATATAAAATGGAATTAGAGATATGTTCCATAATCCCCGGGATGATTTTTATACATCATAAAGTATTGTCTACGATCATATTATACATTCAACAAATCTAACAAACATATTGATGTAGATTCTTCATATATGATCCAATATACTGTCAATGGGAATTTCAGGATCCTAAAATGGAGGTACCTACCATATATAAGGCCTATATAAGGCCTATGTAAGGGAATATCTCTAGAAAATATGCCCTTATATGGTACAGTACCTCCAATTTAGGATCCTGGAATTCCCATTGATACTGTGGATGGTCGTGAACTCCTGGTGCCCACTGGTGCCCAGGCGGGTCGCTGGCATGAGATCGACCACGAGCTGCAGATCGGCGCCTGGGTCAACGTCCGCGACGAGGCGCGGCGCACGGTGCTCCTGTGGGCGGCGCGCTCGGGCGCCTGCGAGGCGGTGACGAACCTGGTGAACAAGACGCGTGGTGTCACGGGGGATGGCAATGGGAGATGATGTTTTGGCTGGGAAATAGGCACATGAATATCTGTACACAAATATAGATACATATATATATATATATTCTCACATACACGATACTATAAATAAATATATATATATATATGATAGTATACTGTATGTATATATATATATATACACATACATGTCAGCAATTAATTTTACCCTTTTGCAACCTCCAGGCCTCACTGGCCCGCCCGTATCGGCTTATTCTCCTCCGTCCACTTCGGTTTTTGACAGGGGCATTTTATTCTGGAAGGCTGTCTGCTTTCGCATTGTTTTCCCAGGCTTTTGAACCCAGATTTTCCCACGTGGGTCCAGTGTGCACACTTCACGAACGTGATGATGTAGATGCTTTCAATCTTCAAAGTGGGTGGATCTTGGATGTTGGAAGGTATTTTTCATGGGGTTATTGATAGGACCCACACAGCCATCAACCAACTGGAATGCTCCCAAAATCCATCCTCGCAATGGAGCATCACCAGTGCAAGTGAGATTCCCAGAGGTTTGGCAAATTGTAGTATTGTAGTAGTTGAGGTATTTAACTCCACATCTTGCCAATTGCATCCCGGATCCAGTTCATCAACCACTTCCTGAAGCTTAATGAGTAGGACTGAGTAGGATCAACAGTAATCCCTAGTCATGAGGTAAACCCAAGAATAAGCAACCCGCAACCGGGGTTTATTAGATTGGTCATGCGTTTTTCTTTTTTGCTGTGATACTTTGGAGCGATTCCTTTTCTGGTTGGTTATTGGGCTCGTTACAATATGGCATCTGGGTAGCGTTTCAGGGATTTACAAGCAATTCGTAGAGATCAACCAGCATTTTACATGGGAATATCATCCAAACCTCCTGATTGCTCCAAATGATGAAATCCATTTCATATACCCTCTGGTAATTTAACATAGCTATTGAAAATGGCCATTTATAGTGGATTTACCCATTAAACATGGGGATTTTCCATGGCTATGTTAAATTACCAGAGGGTAACCGCATTATTGGTTTGTGGTTTCATTTTTTCATCCCTACCTAAAATGATGATCCCAATTGACAATATAATATGTTTCGATGGATTGAAAGCACCAACCATATTATAACCACCCAAACAAAAGAAAAAACACATCCTACTACATAATGATAAATGATGTTTCCAGCTTTTGTGGGATTGTAATGATGATACCCCCTCTTTTTAATGGCGCGTTTACCACCAAAATCGTCCCAACCCGTCCCAAGGAACGCGGATTTAGACGCCCGGGACGAGAGCGGTTGGCTGCCGGTACACTGGGCCGCACAGAGCGGTAGCGTGGAGATGATGTGTAATCTGCACTACCTGGGAGCCGACTTCGTGTCCAGGTGGATTTGGCGGTGGATGATTTTTTTTGGGATGAATCAAACAAGGTCGTCATTTCTGGCAAAACCTGTAGATATTTCCATTTTCTTTGATTTACATGTTGTTGGTTTTTGATGTTTTGGTTCTTTTATTCCGGTGAACTATTCCCCCCCCAAAAACATTGTCACTGGGTCCCCGGGATCAAGCTGCACGTGGGAGGACCTATGTGGGGGAGACGGCCCTGCACATTGCCGCGCAGTACAATGACGGGGCCATGATCCAGGCGACTTGGATGAGTAATCGGGGGATGCTGGGGACATATGCCTGATGGCATGTAATTATATGTAGAACTGCAAAAAAAAGGTCTGACAAAATCATACTGTTAGTTGTTTCAGTTTCCTGATCATTCGAAGAATAATTCTCTCATGGTGGCTGGGAGTAGCAGGTGTTGCTCGCCTCCAACGCGGACATCGAAGAACTGAACGTTGATCTGAGGACTGCATGAGATGTGGGGAATACAACATTGACGTTTTTTCTTTAATTTCACTGGGCATGGTTTTTATGTGTGAATTATTCATAATGATATCTAATGACACCAGTATAATTTTCACTGGTTTCAAAAAAATAGAGGAGGCCCAGAATCTCCCTAAAATTGTTCAACATTTGCTGCCAGGACGGCCCTGCACATGGCTTCCGTGAATGGTCAGACTGAAGCTTTGCAGACCTTGCTCTTCTACAAAGCAGATTTTGAGAAGCTCAGCGGTGGTTTTTGTTTCAGGCCCTTTTTCAGGATTTCAAGGTATGTACTGGTATGTATGATATTCATGGGAAAGACATGCATAAAATCCGTCCCACCTGCCTTGTGCTCCCAAGATGTGGGGCTATAGAACTATAAGAATCCCAGCATTTTTGGCGGTTTGGAGGGAGCAGGGGTTCAGCACGAAATTCCACAGGCAATGCGTTGCCCGTTGGCAACCACGTGCATATGGAAGGGAAGGCCTGTCAGAGAAGTATATATATATATAATGGATGAATTATAATGCAACCATCAGAAAATACGGAAGCATCAAGTGACATTCTTGAGTTTAAGTCTGCCCTCCAAGCTTCCAAATTACCACTAAGAATGAGGAAACAGCATCCATCGCAAGCAGTTGCTGTCCTTGTGACTGGTTCCCATGCCGCTGAGGAAGGTGGTCGAGGATGAGAGCGGCATGACGGCGTTCTTGTTGGCAGTCACTCATGAGCGCCTGTCTGCTGTTCAATGCATGCTCTCCGACATTCCTTTGCTGCTGGGCATGAATTCAATTGAGAAGTCAAGAAGTCAGTCAAATTTTGTGTTGCAAGGAAATAAACGGATTCTTTGCCACGGCTATATTGAGCAAAACAAGCCCAAAGGAAATAATCGAGATATTTGATGGTGGGTTATCAGCGGCTTTAGTTGGGATTAGGAGAGGGTACCATCCCATAACTACAATAGCTGCCTTCTAACCATAACAACCTTCACTTGGGATAGGACCCTGAAAGTCATCCTCCCCATCACCACAGCTGAGGTTTCAGGCAAAAAATCCAGAGGAACCTCCCCATCATTGATGGCATTTGATTGAAACCAACAGTACATACCAGTAGTACCGCACAAGGCGGTGGCGGAAGTTTCAAAGATAGGAAACCTATAGGAGAGTTTGGTTGTTGTGAATCATGGATGGCAGAGCGAACCCACTGATGGATCGAATGGTGGTTGGAGTGTCGGGCTATCGATTTGTCTACTGTATCTGTCTTTCCATCTATCTGTCTATATATCAGTCGATCTATCTATCTGTCCCTCTATCTGTCCCTCTATCTGTCTATTTGCTATTTCTACCTATCTACCTATCTACCGATTCTACCAATCTACCTACCTACCTACCTATCTATCTATCTATCTACCTACCTATCAATCTACCAATCTGCCTATCTACCTATCTCTCTATCTATCTATCTATCTATCTATCTATCTATCTATCTATCTATCTATCTATCTATCTATCTATCTATCTATCTATCTATCTATCTATCTATCATGACCTATCATGATCTATTATGATCTGTCATGATCTACCATGATCTAATCATGATCTATCATGATCTATCATGACCTATCATGGTCTACCATGATCTATCATGATCTATCATGATCTATCATGGCCTATCATGTTCTATCATGATCTATCATGATCTATCATGACCTATCATGATCTATCATGATCTATCATGATCTATCATGATCTATCATGATCATTATCATATCATCATCATCATCATCATCATCATCATCATGATCAATCTATCTACCCGCCTCCCTACCCACCGACCGCCCTACCGACCCGACCCGACCCTAGCACCACCCCTACCTACCCTACCCATCCCCCTACCCTACCTACCTAACCCAACCCAACCCAACCCAACCTAACCTAACCTAACCTAACCTAACCTAACCTAAACCTAACCTAACCTAACCTAAACCTAAACTAAACCTAACCTAACCCAACCCTACCTACCTACCTGCCTACCTACCTACCTACCTACCTACCTTTCAATCAATCAAACTTTCTATCACACTATCTATATGTTTGTCTGTCTATCTGTCTATCTGTCTAACTGTCTAGCTGTCCAGCTGTCTATCTGAAATTGCGCTGTGCGCAACTTTTAACTACAACTTAATCAATCACCAAATAGATATGTATACATTAAACGCCAATACGCCCAGATAAGCGTACATATACAGGTAAAAAAATAGACAAGTAAATAAATACATAAATACATAAACACAAATTGTAAATAAATAACTAAAAAATAAACGATTAAATGAACAATTACATACATAGAAAATAAATAACTAAAAAATAAATAGATAGATAGATAGATAGATAGAATAGATGAGATGAGATGAGATGAGATGAGATGAGATTAGATTAGATTAGATAGATAGATCGATAGAGGGATAGATAGATTAATATATATATATAGATAGAATAGATAGAATAGAATAGAATAGAATAGAATAGAATAGAATAGAATAGAATCGAATAGATAGATAGATAGGTAGGTAGATAGATAGAGGGATAGCTAGATAAATAAATAAATATATGTATATATATATATATACAGATAGTTAGATAGTTAGATAGAAAGATAGATAGATAGATAGATAGATAGTTAGATAATTAGATAATACATAAACATACATTTATTTAAAGAAAGACATATAATATACACATTTAAAAATAGATTGGAGGCATTCTACAGCGTAGCGTGTGCCTTGGGTCACAAGGAGAAGATACCGTGAAGTTCACGGCCCGGATTGTACATGTGGTGAAAAGCATGAAGAAAAGCTGCGCGGCAAAAATTGCACAGAGAGCTAACAGGCAAACAGCAGGCTTTTAGTCACACCTTGCCCTGACAAGCATGAGCTACTTATATTCCTTCCTAACTGGCTGCGTCACGGTCTGTTTTCCTGTTTTGCTTCTGTCTGTAGCACAGCAGTTAGATGATCATTACATATCTATGTGGTGATTGATTAAGTTGTGATAATAAATAAATGCACCTTGTCGTTGAAATCTTTCCGCGCAATTTTGCTACACAGCCCCACCAGCTTTCGCACAGGAGAACCCTCACTCAGTCTCGTGTCGCTTTTAGCTCTGACCAGCACCTGCACAAGACATACAAGACTTAAGCTGATACACCTTTTTGTCATTCATTGCAATTTGCGATTTTTACCACAAGACCCAGCCAATTTCCGCACGGGAGCGTCCTCACGCATGCTTTCTTTCGGCTTTCTTTGACCAGCGTCTGCGCAAGAGCAGCTAAGCTGAACAATTCAATGCACCTTTGTGGTTGCAATCTGCCCGCGCAATTTTACTAAACAAAACCCGACCAAATCCTGCAAGGGGGAATTCACCGAACCGATCCTTCAGCCATCGCACTGGAACCTCCGGAACCACCAGGCCAGACCCCCCACACCAAATTTTCGACACCTCCCAGCCCAAAAACTGCACCAGAAGTCGCACCGAACAGTTATTCTCCGGCAAACTAACACAGGCCCTGCATGACATGAGCTCCAAGACTGTGACACCGAGAGCCCACCAGTCGGCTCCTCGTGCGTCATAAGCTTCGCCCCGCAACATTTCCGGCGCGTGGTAGCCCGGAGTCCCGCAAACTGCGCTGGCTCCTGCAAGGGCAGATGTCGCCAGGCCAAAATCCGCCACCTTGAGGTGCCCACACACGGTCAAGAGCAGGTTGTTCGGCTTGAGATCGCGGCGCGCGATGCCTAAGGTGGTCGAGCGCACCGACTGCGGCGCCTGCGTAGAAGCTTGTGTGCACCTCCGAACCATAGAAGCCCCTCCCCAGCAACACAAAAGCGCTCTGTTTTGAATCCTAGGCACATTGCTCAGCTTGCTTGCACGCCATGCGCCTTTGTCCGCTGATCAACCATGTATCTACAATCGCGCGGCATCTCGGCTTGATTGACAGATACGGGACCTGTTTCCAACGTGTTTCTAACACTGCGTCAAACACAGTTCGCGGCTTTCATGGAGCGCCGCATGGCCAAGCAGATGACGGACGTCCACCGCACGGTAGCCGCTGGGCGTTTCAGGGGACTATATGGCTGGTGCGTGCGAAAAATGCAAGAACTCCGCACTGACGTCCGGGCAGGCGTCCGCAACATCCGCGACTACGGCATCGGCTGCCGCCGTTTGACGGCTTGACCCTGCCTCAGCCATTGCTTTGACCCCGTGCTGTGGCCCGATGCCTTGCGTCGGCACCAGCAGCTGTGGCAAATTGACGGGCCGGTATCATGGCTGTGCTGCGTCTCGGAACGGTATACATTGGACCCCATCCAAGTGCTGCCGTACGAGAACCGGAACCCCCTGAACCTTATGATGCTGCAGGACAGGTTGGACTTCTTGAAAGACGATTGCTGCTGCGTGGAACTTGCTTCCTGCAAATCCACTCCGGGCAAGGCCTTCCCTTGCCGTTGCATGCAACGCTTCCCTCACCTCCCGCACCGCAAGGACACTACGCGATCCTCTATACCTGCAATGCAAGACCATGGACTTGGCAATGTGCTTTTGGCGGCCCTCGCCCCCTCCCTGGCGTTTGGCGTTTCCGCCGCACCGCAGCCTAAGCTCAGGTGACACGACCAGCACAGGACAGTTTTGAGGATTCGGAATGGAGCGGGTGAGCGCTAGTGTAGTTACTGTAGCTGATTGCGTTTTGTGATTTTTCCACTCCATCTGTCTAAAGTATTGCGCATGCCACGAAAAAGTGTACGGAGTGCTGCACCCGTCATGCAAAATCACCTCAGCAAACCTGAAGATCTGATGCCCCAAATTAATATGCAACCCCTCTCAGGAAATCAGCGCCCGGGCCCTGACCTCCCAACATCTTTGATGGAGATGTCTCTTGTATTGCGCCTGCCACGCGAGATGCATCTTTGCAGATCCTCTTCAAAAGACCCACGCCGACCCACGCCTGCCATCGTTTTTGAAACGGCTAAAATACCCTCACGTTTTGCTCATTCTTGGCAAAGGTGCAGAATCCATTGCGCCCGCCACACAAAATAACGATTGAACGTCCAAAAGTGTTCCGAACATGTGGTGCTTTTAGCATTTTGACTTCGACATGTGCTTCGCGCCACAATTTTCGACATCTCAACTTCCAAAAGTGCACCGAACGTGGTGTGTTTTGCAGATTTTGACTTCGCAATGTACTTCGCGCTGCAACAGCATGCACTTTTTGAACATCTCAACATCCAAAAGTTTTCCGACAATGAGGTGTTTTTGGCATTTCGACTTCCAAATCTGCTTCGCGCCACAGCCGCGTGCAATTTTTCATCTCTCATCTGACGAGATGGCTCCGCACTCGCCGCTTTAGCGTGCCTACTTTAACCACTGGAAAAATGCAAAGTTTCGCGGCTTTTCTACCTTTTCGCGCACCTGGATCTTCTTTCTTCTAACTCTTTCTCTTCTCTGACCTTCTTTCTTCTTCCTTTCTCTTCTCTGACTCTTCCCACCCCTGCTTTTCCATCTGCCCATATTGTTGGAAGTTTGTCTTCTAAACTTACTTCGATAAATTCCATGTAAACACCATAGACCATCGGTTTTGTGCCAACATCTGCCAACGCAAAGAATCTGCAGAAAATGAAATCACAAGTCCATGTGGACGCACACACACATATATATATATATATATATGTATATATATATATACACAAACACATGTGCACATGTATGTATACAATTGTATACATAGGATGGAATTTGTTTTTTTTCAAACATTGTCTGATTGATAAAAACACCACCGCTTAGGCCTCCACGGTTGCCGATCAATGCGGGCACCCTGTCCGTGGCACCCAAAAAGGCGGGCAAGCGCACCGGTTCCCGGGAACCGCCGGAGCGGGCCGTCCCGGGACCCAAGGATCCCAAGGCGGCTGGGGGCACCAAGGCGAAGGCAGGGAGCTGGAGATGATATGGGAATCATGTGGTAAATCCAATTTCATACACCTCTATTTCGGGATGGTTTATTATTGGCTTTACCACATCATTGGAGATTTTTGGTTCAGGTTTGTTCTAATTTTTTGCATGCAGGCAAATGGTTCAGTCATATGGTGTTTTGGATGGGAAGAGCAAAGGCATTTCTGTGGAGAACTGTGGAACAAGTTGTCGCCAAAAACCTCTGCTGATCAGGCGGCTCCAGCCCCAAAGACCCGGATCGGCAACCGGAAGAAGCTGGTGAAGGATGTGCGCGAAAAACGAGGCGCGCAGCGGCAACTGCGCTGTGGGGTGACTGACTCTCCCAACGGCCCAATTTTCTTTGAGTTTTTTGTGGGGGTCATACCAGGGAAACAAGGACTGATCTTTAATCATCAGTGTCGTTGCTCACATCTTCATGTCAGCTACATTGAAAAATTGAATACGGTTCGAAATGGCTGAACTGCTTATAGATCTTTTAGAAGACCAACCAATCCTGGGCCTTACATTCTGAGTGATACCCATATTACATGGTGTCAACCCCTTCTGTACTAAAATCCAAGTCTTCTTGTTCTAAGTTCTTCTCAAGCGAATTCAAAAAAACGCAATCGAATTTCGGTATCCCATTGAGAAGAGTTTATGGAGGGAGACTGACCCCCAACCACTCAAGTTCCAGGTCCCTTAGAGCTCAGCCATCAGCTACTTCCCTGCAGAATCGGAAGGTTTCGACAATGTCGATGAAAATATGTGAACATATAAATCGTAGATTCAGTAGATTGATGTAGATTCTACTGCACACGTACTCGCCTTGGGTCATGAAAAATCATCCTGTGGGTCATTTGAACAGAGGATGTCCGGCGCCAATTTGGGTCTGTTTAAACAAAGGTTGCTCCAACTCCCCAATAGTTTTGTAATCTTCTTGCAAATTAGCATGGCTTCAGATGTGGTGGCTCATCCTCCATTTTCAGACACCCAGAAATATATTTGATTAAATGTTGATGATACACTTCAATATCCCATGCCCATGATTTTAAAATGACATAAAGCAAAGTATCACCAGGATTTTCTCCACCAAACATATGATCCCCATGGCTTTCCCATGGTTTTCCCATGGTGTTCCCCCCACAAACATGGTAACTTCTGGGGCAGGTGACCATCCGCGAGCCCTGCTGGAGCATGCCGCCGAGATCCGGACCAAGTTGGTGAAGAGACCTGGGCTTGGGATTTGGAGGGAGAAAAAGTGTATATAGTTTAATATATATATATATAGCGATAGATAGATAGATAGATAGATAGATAGATAGATAGATAGATAGATGGATCGATAGATAGATAGATAGATGGATGGATAGATAGATAGATAGATAGATAGATAGATAGATAGATATAGATGTAGATAGATATAGAGATAGAGACACACATATATATATATATATAGAGATAGATAGAAATATATATATAGATATATAGAGATAGATAGATAGATAGATAGATAGATAGATAGATAGATAGATAGATAGATAGATAGATAGATAGATAGATAGATAGATCTAGAATGATTATATATATATATATACAGATATGTATATATATAGAGAGATTTGTATAAATATAGAATATATATAGAATTAGAATTTTGATAGAATATATATAGAATATATATAGAATATATATAGACTATATATATATAGAATATATATAGTATATATATAGAATATATATATATAGAATATATATAGAATATATATAGAATATATATAGAATATATATAGAATATATACAGAATATATATATATAGATAGATGAATAGATCGATATAGATATAGATACAGATATAGAGAGGTATATATATATAGAATATATATATATATATTTAGATAGAATATATATAGATGTAGATATGGATATAGATATAGACGGAGAGAATATCACCACATTCTTAGCTGCGACTCCTGGGACTGGCTATGGACAATTGCCCGTTTGGTGATTTTCCATTTCTCTGTGAGATGACCAGAGGGTACATCACATATGAACTAACACTATTGCAAAAAATATATATATATATATTTCAACATATTTCAATACATCAATACAATTCATGTTTTTATATATATATATATATATATTGTATGGTCACCGCCCCAAACGATTTAGATATTTTTTTTGGAAGGCCATGTTTCACTCCTGTTGCCCACATAAGGACACCCTTCGGCAAGATCGGGCGGCGCCTGGTGAATCAATGCGACCTGGAGGAGCGCAGTGCGCTGTGTCTAGCGGTCATCGGACGCCATTCCAACATGGTGCAGATCCTCCTGAGTTCCAAGGTGCCTTCAAGGGGGGTGGGGGCGTGCTTCAAGGGGCTGGGGTTGGGAGGGCTTAAAGGTATATATTTTTATTGGCCTTTGGCATGGTGAAGCTGGCAACAAAAAACAGTAGCACAGTTTAGGATTGAGAAACATTTTTAGAATCGCTGCACAAATTGCGGAACATATATGAACATGTGATCCATACACCTTGACGGCAGATTTACACATGCAATGCCAGACTGACTGATGGATGTTCATTATAGTATTAAATATATTAAATAGTATTACCCTCTGGTAAACTAACATAGCTATTGAAAATGGCCATTTATAGTGGATTTTCCCATTAAAAATGGTGGTTTTCCATAGCTATGTTAAATTACCAGAGGGTATAGTATTCCAGGCTAAAATGACCCACATCCAGTTTGCAGCTGGTAGTTGTACCCTCTAATCCATCCTGGCACTGACACAATTTTGTTTCTTCACGCCCAATAAATCGACAAAAGTCACAGGTGGGCTTGTCTGAAAATGGGCACCTATGGTTGTTTAGTATGAATGGAGTTATTTCTGTAATAGATAACCATTTCCCCCCAACTTTGTTTTTTTGGATCATCACCTCAAACAAAATTCTCCACGTCAATTTTGACGTAGATCTTCCATGTTCAGAATCGCGAAGGCGGAGCTGGAGACGACGGATTCACATGGCAATGGAGTGCTGCACTATGCATGCATGAACCGAGATCGAGAGCAGGTGAGCCAAACCGATGGGGGGGCTGTGGGTGTGGATCATGTCAAAACTGTCAAAAAATCCTGACAAGGAATGAGTCGAAATTTGATGATATCAATTACTGATACAGATGAATACATGTTTTTTTTTTTTTATGTATATACACATGATCTTAGATGATATTTGTATTAACAATGTATCATCTTGCATGAAATTATGAATTCGTTGGCTTCTCTGACTTTTGCAAGTGGAAAGATAAGAACGGACTCTATGTGGTTGTGCCACGAAAAAATCCTGCAGCTCCCTGGGAATTAGCAGGATCCCATCAGGACCCTATTTTCGTTGATCGAACATGATCCCCAAAAACCGTATCTTATAGCTTTCACTACCAACATGATCAAATATTGGATCATTTTGGATAAAGATATGGGGTACATATGGGGTAGCCAGCCGTTGTTCAGAACCTGACTCTACCCGACTCCTTCTATCGTCACGTTACAGGTGGCGACCTTCATGGATCTGAATGCACGGGTCGATCGGCTGAACAAAGATGGCTTGAAACCTGTGGATCTCTGCCAGGACGGGGATTGTGTGCCGATGGTTCGATCAGCAAAATTTGAGGGGTAGAATCTGAATGTAATTGACATTATATTCATTAATTATATCATTGTACAATTGCTGAAGTTCAACAAGTTCAACAAGTTCAACAAGTTCAACACCAAGAAACACGGGATTCAAATGGATTCAAGATGATTGAAGCGGCGCATATTAAGTAGAAGGTACGTATACACAATAAAGTGGTTGGGTGATTTCATACGTGGCTATGAGTCGCTAGAAATGAAGAGTTCACCCAACAAATATGGATAACTATGGGGTAATTGTCGTCTGAATACAATCGTTGAACATCAGCACCTGTAAAATATAAGGAATAATGCAACTACAATAAATAAAGTAGTTGGTGGTTAGCATTCATGTGTTTTGCAATGAATTTCTAGCTTAAGAAATGGCAATCATGATCACACCGGCTTACATATTCTTCTGGAGAGTGACTCAGATTCCCCTGTTTTCATGAGATGTTTCCTTGGACAGCAAAAGGTTGGAGAGTACCAAGTCACCAAGTGCTGGTGATGTCTTGCCGCCTGCGTCACCAGGAAGACCCAGACATCTTGCACATGATCGAGCGCAAGCTGGTGAGCAAGAAGCTGGAAACCTTGCCCCCCTCGCCCACCCATGTGGCACCAGCGGTGGGGATCAACTTGGAGGTACCTCCCGGGGCACGAAAGGACCATGGAAAACTGGCGAAAAGACAAGAACGGACGGCAATGAACACCAAGAAACATAGACAAGGGTCAGTCATATATGTATATATATATATACATATATATATATATATACAGTATATATATATAACAATATATGGAATCATACAAATCGTACATATATATATATACATATATATATATGATATACATATACACATGGAGAGATATCTAATCCCAATCGAACCACTTGGGGCCGCAACTGTACCAGTTGAAGTCCTGGAAGGCCATCATTATGGAATCCATTTATATTGGTTGGAAAACAACAAAAAACCACAATCCATTTTTTAAAAACATGGACAAAACACATGTTTGCAAGGAAGACCGAGGGATCGACAGTGGCCATGAGACTTGGGCAACTCTCATTAGGTCTCTCATGGCAGGAATTTGCACCCCCCAACAGTGGGAACACCATCCAACACTTGAGGTTGATCTAGGGCCCCATTCCAAATCCTCCGGTTCAAGTGTAAAATCCCCTATGGGGTGAGATCTCGATTTTCAGACAGGCACGGCTCAAACAGGGGGACTGTCACGTCTTTTCATTTCTTGCATTTAACCCTCCCATTTCTTGGGTCACTGATTTTTGAGCCATTCTCACATTCTTCTTTCAGTTCCTGTGTGATTTTACATGTTCATATATTTTCTATCTAGAACACTATCAGTATAAATGATCCCTCTTGATGTGTGACCACCTGCCAGGAAGTATATAATTTGTCACCAAATTCCACGCACTGTATAACCTGTAAATACTGTAAATATTGTGCTTTTGCAGCAAGGCTAAAATAGTGGGAAAACGCCCTTTCAACTTCTACCCTCAAAGTACTACTGATACCAATCATATCATATTTCTTTACAGCGACGGAAGGAGAGACATCGGATCCGCTTTGAGAGCCCCATGCTACAAACCATGGGGCAGGCGCGGCCAGGGGGCGAAGCCATCAATAGCTGTGATGCCATGTGTGTTTTGGGGGTCTGCAACGCAGATTTTGACGAGGACGGTCTGCCTGAAACAGAGGTTGAAGGGCCGTTCATGCTGACCATCACTCTACCCGATTCAGGTCGCTCCATAGCAGTCTCCCCAAAAAATAGAAAAGTCAAATACCTCAATTTCGGTAGGGAAACGCTTTTATGTAATCTTTTTGGGACATCTTAAGCCAGGGTTTCAGGCAAGCAAAACCTCCATATCTTGAAAATCAGGTGACCAAACATTTCCCCCTGCAACATCCTTCAACGGGCGTTTTGTCGTTTTTTTGGCACCCCGCAACTTCTGGGTACAGAGCCATGGAACCCAGCTTTTGATGGTTTGGCCAGGAAGCCATCTTGAAAGAGCTGAAACTCTTCATTAAGCAGCGGGGAGCACCCAAAGCCAAGAACATCCAGGCGACCGATTCGTGATTCCAAGATTCGCAGATTGGCAGATTTTTGGGTCCCAGTTTCTGGGGCCCTGGTAGCACCAATTGATGTCGATCTTATTTGGGAAGAATTTTCGGGTCAACCACTGGATTTTGGTACCCGGTTGGTGAATCAAACTGCACTGTGGCCGGATGGTTTTACGGGACGCTCATGCTCAATGTCTAGAAAGGTGAAGGTGTAATCAGTGTAAATCCAAAGGTGACAACCATACCCAATTCAACCAGTTTGTTGAAAAAAAATTGGTTTCCCCTCTGGCAATTGAAGATACCCTCTGGTAAACTAACATAGCTATGGAAAATCACCATTTTTAATGGGAAAATCCACTATAAATGGTCATTTTCAATAGCTATGTAACAAATTACCAGAGGGTATATCCCATTAAATCCCATTAAATCCCATTAAACCACCATTTTCCTATGGTTTTCCTATGGTTAAATTACCAGAGGGTAGCTATGAAAACTCATATCATTTCTGCCTCGGCGCAGGTGGAGCTGGACCCCATCACTGCTAGACCCAGGGGCCACGCCTATGCGGATTTCTTGGAGGAATGGGCGGCCGAGATGGTACTGCAAGGGGCACCTTGGAAAAAAATCTATAGAAATGGATGGATTATGATGGATTGGTTGGAAAATCTGGAAGGAAACCCAGGTGTTTTTTTTCCCCATTGGAGAGGTTTCCAGTAGAATCTGTACATTTCCCCTTAAACTCATCCACTCATCCATTGAGATTATATACTGAATGGATCTAAATGGAGAATATCCCCATTTCGAATGAAGATATCATGGGATATTCCATGACATGGATATATTTTTTGGAACATGGGATATGACTCCAACATTTCTTGATCTGAGTTTGTCTGGAAATGCGGTTGGTTGCTCTCCAATTTATGGCCTGGTCCGAATTTTGAGACAGCCGTTTTTTTTGGAACTTGTCGTCAATTTTTAGTTGTAGGAAAGATGGGCACTGGATGCTACTGTAGTGATCGGAAACAATCGGAAAAAATCGGAAACGATCGAAAACAACATACAGACACTTTAACCTGTTGAAAAAAATCAGAGACGTCCCAGTGCCATTTTTCTGGAGCTTCGAGGTCGTGGCGGCCACGGTGGTCGGACAAGTCATGCACTTCCCAATAAGCAGTTTTCACATGTAACAATATATGAGTAGATAGTATATTTGTACACTGTATACTACAGTATGTATGTACTGTATGCATATATATATAGATATACATACATCTTTCATATATATATATATACATTTTTCAAATATATATATACACACACTACATACCTATTTACATGTATATGATGAATCTATATAGAGTAGCCAAGCTCTGGTTTTCCCGTTGATACCCAGCAACTTGCCACATTCAGCCGGTCTTCATTGGAAATTGTACTGTGACGCTAGTATGGCTGGCTATCCAACAGACCTCATATTTCAAAACCTCCGGTGACAACCATCCAAACCCTGCCCTGTTCATCCCAAATATATGAACACATGTGAAAAACTATAGGTTTTGATGCATTCCGAACTGAGGATGGGAAGCAGTTGAATGGGCAGCCACTGAGGGTTTTCTTTGAGATTCCATTCCAGCTGGAACACCCAGCCGAATAGCAGCTAGGTACCGCCCCCTTTGGGGGCGAGTTTCGTGGTGGGGTCCAGCTTTGATGTTTTTTGGTGTTTGGCATGGCATTTTTTCGTCGTCAAGATATCAGGGATGTCAGGATGTGTCAGGGGAGTATGTCCAGAAAAAGTGCCCTATTAGTCCTGGCAGAGATGCCGTTTTTATTTGAAAAAAAGTGTTGGGTGCACTTCCAGGAGCTCTCGAGCATTCTGGAGCTGTGCACGATCAGGAATGTAGGAACATGTAGGAACCAAAACCCAAAGTGCTCCCCGATTCCTGGCCTTTTTTGATATCGTTTTTTCATGTTTTTGATGAATCATATGGACCCAGAGAGTGGACAGATGAAAGACTTCGATTTCCCAGGACGGAGCAGATTCAGCTTCACAACTCTTCAGAATCGCTAGGTTAGCAGATGGATCCTGTTGAACTCTCAAATCACTGACGCTCCACGGACCCGAACCGCAGCTTGCGTTGCGAAAAAACCGGGCCTCCAACTTGGCGAACGTCAAGGTTTGGGGTTCCCGGGGTCGTCGTTTGCGTCCGCAACGTTGGTGGAAAGAGATGGGGTGCTGGAGGGGAAGGGGGGGAAGGACGTGGAAGATATGGATATTGGATGATATTGGTTAACATATGTATAAATGATCGGTCAAATAAAATCAAAGACGCTCATAAATCATCATAGATTTGAAAGACTGACGGATTTAATGGACAGGGTTACATTTGTAGATTCATAAACGAGTTGCAAAGGTGTATATATATATATATCTGCGTAGATATGTTGATATGTTATGTGTAGACATGCGAAGACATGCGAAGACATGTAGACATACATACAGGAATATATATATATATATGTATATGCATATGTATATATATATATATCTATATATATATATATATGTAGATGAAGACATAAATAGATATAGATAGGTAGAGACAGATATAGATAGACATTGCTAGATAGACAGATCGGTAGGTAGGTAGATCGCTGGATCTAGGACATTAATCAACATCATATATAATCATATATAAGCATATATAACCATATACAACCATATATAATAATATGTAATCATATATACATAATCGTATACAGTCATATATAATCTATACAGACTATCTACATGTTATATCACCATCTAGAGCACCTCTACCTGCCCAAGGCCCTTATCCTTGATGGAACCCGTGGATGCGGACAACAAAGGGGCCGAGGGACATCATCATGGCATGGGCGACTTGTCCTTTCCTTCTGCCGTGGCCTCTGCTCTCATCAACCACATGCTGATGTGCCTTGGGATGGGACGATTTATGATATTTATGGATATGAATGATGTGAACATACATGAACTTATAGCTTCATGGGTAACATAGGATCTTTAAGCTTTCTATCTTGGAATCCACGGGAATGCCATGTTGACCATCTCCAAGTCAGCGTGGCGTTTTGGGATTCCAACCATCCCCAGCCATGGTGACATGGTGGGTTTAATGGCACTGGGATACCCTCTGGCTATCTATAAACGGGTGATGTGTCATAGCCATGTTAAATAGCCAAAGGGTATGTAAAAAAAATAGGATATTTTTGTGGTCATTTTATGATTTTTATGGGATATACAATCAACTTGATGGGATATGGTTTAACGTCATTTTGTGGGGAACCGAGGGATGGGGACGGGGAACTTAAGTCAACTTGGGATGTCCAGATGGGAATAGAGTTGGTTTTAGGGAAAACCTGCAGATATCATGGAAGGGAATCGCAATTGTGTTTTTTTTTTGCACACTATTTTTTAAATTGAATACCAGCAGAAGACATGGGCATTGTTGGTAGTGACGCATCAAATTTGGACCAATACCCATCTCCATGTGTGCACATGCTGGGGTGATGCAACAATGCCTGGTTCTCAAGTTGTGAGAAAAATCAGCTCTGACTATAGATGATCCAGGATGATCCGTGATGATCCGGCTGGATTTGGTCCCGTCCTTCGCAGGTTTGGCATGTGTTGTGCCTACGGTATGATCATCTTCAGTGAGGAAAGGCATTCAGATCACCGCGCATTGGGAGTGAAGATGCTCGGCTTTTTGGGTTGAACATGCCCTTCGAAAACACCTGGCACCACCATGATTGGCCCTCCCACATATCACTGGGTTAGATAGTTTGTTTGGGGGTTTCCATAAATGGGGTTACCCCAATAGCTGGATGGTTTATAATGGAAAAGCTCATTAAAATTAATGATTTGGGGGTACCACCATTTTACGACCACCTTATATCATTTTTAGCAAATTTCACTCGTATGTGACTTGGTGGTTATTTCCCTTGGCCCTTGGTATACATACACCCAGGCAGATAGGGGCCTATTTTTGCAGGTGGGCTGTCCACAGGAAGGCTCTGTATGTGCTGCAAACACCTCCATTTTTTGGAGGGAAAACACCGCTTTGGATCCGGCGATTTCTTATGTGCTGTAGATTCTACACTGTAGATGTGTAGATGTTGTCGGGCTGGTTTCGGATGATATCCTACCCATCTTTCATCCTTTTCCAACACCCAATCCTTCACCACCAAGTCCTTTGCCCAAGGATGT